ACCTGTATACAATCATTTTTTCATAAAACATTAGTATTATAATATTATATACAGTCCATTGTCCATCAAAGAAGTTCGGCAGACTGCAGGCTGGTCTAATGGTCAAATGGTCAAAATATATGCACGGACTATAAATATTCAAGTTTAAAAATGTAGAAAAACGTTTTTATAAATAAACACAGACATATTAAAACGTAGTTATATACAATAGATTATCCAAATAATATAAAATAATTTGCAAGTTAAAGTGTAAAATAATTAAATTCGTATACTACCTATACCTATAGTAGAGAAGTATATAACACTATATTTTCTAATAAAATTAGCTCAAATATTAAAACTGCAAGCACAGAAAAAGTTTTTAGGAAATAAAAAGATACATTTACATAGATTTTGCTTATTTTTTTCATGTAGTAAGCTATTTTAGTATGCTATTTTAGCCAGTATCGATTCTGCAGGTTCATGATTGGGGCTCCCGGCGGCCGGGAAAGTAATTTTTATGTGCCCTGACGTACGATGCATTAACAAAAAAATCGAGCATCCATTAAATTGCAGGAAAATATTTTAATTTATAATTTAAAAAAAATGTAATACTTTAAAATTATTTTATATTATAATTCTATTAGAAACGGGTAAGTGGATGTCGTTCTGCTGTGCAAGTAGGTTACAAGTGGGTTAATGTATATAATGGACTGTATGAAACTTGAATTCAATGATATAATACCATTGAATAAGAAAAACGATTATTAGCGAAGATGGTTTGTTAGTCTGTATATTGTGTATTGTTATTATTTATTATAGCTTGCAAGTTGAATTAATATTCTAATATTATTATTTTTTATTCGTTTCTATTGGTGATAGGCAAAGCGTTGGAAATTTAAATCCCTTTTTTAGCGGTTTTTCGTAATTTGTCGATGGCTTTCCCCGTCAATAACTATTGAGAAAATCGAAAAATGACCTCTTTAAAGTACCATCTTGATCCAGTATGCTACAAGATATAAGATAGGTACTATACGTTGAAATCAAAGCACTCCTTCTGTTAGACATTTTGTATATAGGATAAAAAAATTAAAAAAAACACCTTTGTAAAACCACTAGCTTCCAAGTTCCGCTCAGAATCTAAAACAATGACGACCCAGAATGATTTTTTTTTTACATTTTGTAGTTTTGTACACATAAAAATTGAAAAAAAAAAATTGAATAAACACAAATAACATAAATTAATAAATTATACATTATTATAAAAGTATAGTAGGTATATAGTTCTTAATTTATGGAAGATCCTAACATATATTATAGATATTATTTTACCACAATAAAATATTCATCTCAAATACTTAACAGATATCATATAAAACCCTAAACTCAATTTTTTGTGAATATCAGCTTATGTATCTTTTTCCGATGACTTCAAAGTATATTTTTTGAGCATAGGCCTTACGCCATGACGTTTCATAATAGTTGTGTTAATTTTTAAATGGTATTCTAAATTTTTAAATTTGGATATACAGTCCGTGGGTATTTTGACCGATTACCACCTATTTCGACGTTTCTCCTCCGTATACATTCAAGATACAACGATCAGTTGGCAGTTAATAATAACTTAAGAAAAATCTGATTCGATATCAATACAGATTTGTCTTGGGATGGTTTAAATTTTTAAAGCGTATATTTTTGCATATTTGTATGTCATGATGACTAAACACCAGATGGCAATAATCGATTATTCATTGATTTTCATGAATTAAGATAAGATTATAATATCTATTCTTGGTATTGAGGTACACACAATGGAGATTGGTAATATAAAGATATACTTTATTATATTATTATATTATATATATGTGTATAGAGCAGGACTTGCAAAATATGTTATAAAAACGTTATGACTATAACGTTATGTTTGACAAAAAAAAAACGATTTAAATTTGGAAGCATAATTATAACGGAAAGCGATAATCAAAATAATAATTAAATAGGTACCACAATACAAAACAACGATTAACAAAATATTTAATATATCATTAAAAAAAAAAAAACATAACGCAAAACGTAATTTATAGAATATCATTGAACGAAAAATAACGCAAAACGAAATTGTGTAACGTTTTAATTGTAAATAAATAACATAAAACGGAATTTTTTTTTCAATTCAAGCCCTGTTATAGAGTATTAAATATTAATGGGTATATCGTATACATATAATTCTATAATATCTTCATTATCTACATTATCTATAGTCTATAATAATTAATATTATCATTTATTATCTGTGCCCATACCTGTTTACGACTTAACCAAGTCGTATACCGTCTACCAGTGGTGGAGTCACGAACATATTTTTTCAGGGCAATTGCACAACGGCCAACACAATTTTAGATTTTTAGGTGGATGGTTAATTTTGTTTGGGTGTACAAATATTTTTATATTTAATTATCATCATTGAATAAGTAATATGTGGATCATCATGATAAATTAATATTAATACAATTGGTATATTGTATATTTTACTGATTTACTCTAGGAATCAGCAACTGGGAAGAAATATTATGCGTAGACAGTGTTGAGAGAGGTAACTTACCTTAAGTTACAAGTTACTGTAAAAAAATTACTTTTTAAGATATTTGATAGTATTTTAATTACAATTTATTGTACATTTTTGTGTACCTAATTTATAACGGTACCTGATCTAAGTTACTTTTTGGTAGCAAAATTACTGAATAATTATTACCTACTCTTTACTTAATTGTTTAATTGGTAGACAAATAGGTAGGTAGATGTATAATATAAATATAATTTTCTGAAATTATCAATTTTGTTATAAGAAAAGACTGTATTTGACAAAAAAGTTTTATTTTTAATAAGTTGTAATTTGGGGAATGCATTGTTATTTAAAATAAAAAATAATGAGTTAAACAAATACCTGTTATTGTAAACTTTGGCTCTTATATATAAAGCCATAGAGTTTATATAATTTCTTATTGCTTGATTGTCATCGAAAACATAGGTAAACATAAATATCTATTGTACTATTATGCTCTTATAGATTAATAGATACCATATTTAAATAGTTTATGTCTTATAAATCAATAGTTAAGAGTCACAACTCGGACATCTCAAATTATTTTTGAACTAATTTACTAATGACAATAAATCTGGTTTATTCAACACATAGTGCATAACATTTAAATTCTTTCTTTTACACTTCCATACACATAAGTTAAGAATAATGAGTAGGTACCTATTTTAAAACCTAAGCTTATATTTTTAATAAGCCAACAATATCCTCTAACTTGTTTGTTTATTGAATATCATTAAATTAATAAGTAAAGATGTGATTATTGATATGTTAGAATCTTCCAGCACTACTATTTTAACTACTACTTACTATTTTAATAATAATATCTAGGTAGGTAGTAGCACTACTCACTAGGCAGGTACCTACCTACCTAATTTATAATTTATAATTTGTTATTTTTTTTTTTTAAACAAGGTATATTTTATGTGTTCATTTGTAAAATAAGTATGTAGATACATATCTACATATCTACCTAACAAATTATTTTTTACTTAAAAATAAAATAATTTCATTAAAATAGGTAGGCACCTAAGCAGTTCATTTTTTTTTAAACTTTGCACTGGGCTTCGGGGGGAACTCAAAATCATGGGGCCAGGGGCACTGCCTTTATGGATAAATTAATATTCGGGACGCCACTGCGTAGGTGTAAATGTACAACTCGAGGTAAAACATCTATAATCACTATAATCATTAATCACTTTATATGAGTTTTGGATAGTAGCCACGAATTGTAACAGACACACAGTCATCGTGAGACATAATATTCGTTATCCGATTATTTTTTTTGTTCTTTTATCAGTTATCACTTATCAGCATTTAGCGGTCTCCGATGAAATTGTCATAGTCATCGTCGCGACGCGGTCGTCGTCGTCGTTTACTCTATGGAAATGTCGGTGGTGGGTGGGCCGGTGGGGGCGGTGGTTGTCGTCGACGGCGACACAGTCAGCTCACTTCTCACTATAGCGTCCAGCGCTCAACGGCGCCACATCGTAGTTACTTCGCGTCGTCGCAATATTATAATAATATTTTATTTTATTTATTATATTGTGATTTTTTCATTCGTGAAACCCGTTGTACCCGCCGGGTTTGTTTTCCCGTTTCCGCCGAGACGTATTACCGACCCGCAGCGGCGATCCACACGGCGGCAGTCGATCTTTTTTTCCCTTCTCGAGTCTCGTTCGATTCCTCCTCACCCCCCTCGTCGTCGTCGTCGTCGTCTCAATTCGCGCGCCGTTTGTCGGAGGAGCATCGGAGGTGGTCCACGCGGAAAACACTTATTTTTTTTGATGGACGATTCCCGTCCATCGATGTGCGTTACTGTCGTGTCGGTTGATATTTAATAATTAATTATCTGTCACCAGTGCGATCGTACACCTAACCAACGGCGCGAAAGTATTTCGCCTTACGACATTCGCATAGCGTTCGAGTGAGTATACCTATCTACCTAACTGACAACTTTTTTGTCTTTTAAAATCCATTCGATTTCACTTTTAACGACCGCAGACACTGGGTAGGTTACATTGTTTTACATTCTTTTCTCACTTCATGTTTAAATTTATTCGTGAACACATTGAATCCGGTGTAAAAAATATGTATATTCCTACCTATCGCGTTACAATTTATTTAACGAATACTGCTCGAAAACTAGGTATCTATTATCTAATACCTATTCAAAACCCATCGATAATAATGCCAGAGGTTTTAGACATGGACACAGTATTTCACATATGTACCTACTGTCGCCTGTCTGAAAACAAATGTAACCTTTTGTCTGGTTGTCAAACAATAACCCCTGGTGTCTTGAATTGTAGTATTTTCATAGGTACGGAACTATTTATTTACACATTGACTTTTTTTTTCAAGGTGTCCTAACAACATATCAATATTACTCACTGCGGACACAGATTAAAGAACAGTTCCAATGGACATCAAGTTCAATGATTATGAATACCATATGATCAGGAAGTTTACTTCCATGTGCTATGGTAGTAGATGTAATCTCATTGACAGGATCAAAATACGCAACAAGATTAGTGTATGGCATGAAATATTGACATACTTACTATCGCCTGATGGTGTCCTCAAAATTTATAAGGTTGAATGTTCACCGGGTGAGAATAATAACCTTGTGACATCCGACTCGCTCCCAAATTATGTGGTAAGACCTTTAATTAATTTAATACTAACCTAACTTTACCAGAGGTTTTTGAACTTTTTTTCACATACCACTCATGTTTTTACGGACAAATTACATTAAAAAACACCGGCATAAGTCTAGTTTGTCGCCCACGCGAATTTTTTGATTTTTTTTCCGGAAACCTATGTACCTATTTCAACGAGTTTAAAACGTTTGGAAGTTATAGCCTTCCAAAGTTTGCGATTTTAAGTTTAATACGCATGCGCCCAACACTACTTAATGCCGCTCGGAGGATCTTGAGTTTGGTGACCGGAGCCAGTAGACGAAGGGAGCCACTATAATATACTTACCTATGTGACCTTAACAGACTGGTCATAACAACTTTGTTACAATATTATAGTGTTGCGCGCATGCGTATAAACATAAAATCGCTAACTTTGGAAGGCTATTACTTCCAAAATAATCATTCCCGCAAATTTATTTTTACATCATCGTTTTAAACTCGCTGAAATAGGTACATAGGTTATCAAAAAAAAAAAAAATCTAAAAATTCACGTGGGCACTAATTAGATTAGCCTTGTTCCAAAACACTATTTAAAATGTAAGTACATGTATCAAAAAAAGTTGTGAGATAATAGAAAATTACAGTAAGTTCCCGTTACAACGAATACCGATACAACGAAAAATCCCGTTATAACGAAAGTCCTAGAAGTCCCCTACAGAAAAGCTATTAAGCTTTTCTAATGACCTTACAACAAAATTTCCGTTATAACGAAAAAAAAATGTGGTCCCTTGGAGTTCGTTGTAACGAGAACTTACTGTACAATAAAAGTTTTTAAACGAATAATCAACGTATCCATGTGTGAGGTGTGTGTTGACGATTACTATTTAGTAACATATTTTTGTGATTTGAGAGAGTAATAAGTTGAAAAATGTTTGTATTATTAATTGTTCTAGTATTTTATATAGGTACCTAGTTAACATTTTTATTAATTATTTATTATTTAAAATTTTTATAATGGTTGTTCATTATTTTGTACTTCTAAATTACACTAAAAAAACATTGATAACTTTTTTTTCAAAATTAGGTTGGCCTTCATTAATTTCCTACATAGCATAAAAGTTATAAATAAAGTAACAAATATTAGGTGTTTGCATTGAGTAGGCAAATCATTAAATATCACAACAATTAAGATTTTAAAATTGTATGTTTTAAACTTTTAAGACGTGTTCACAAATAATTAGGTAATAACTATGTATAAATTTTGTACAAAATGTACTTTTTTCAGATAAAACGGAAATTAAAGACTGTGATGCGTGGTAATGAAGGTGCAGTGAGGGCAAATATTTCATTAGATGTAAGTAACAATGTGATAATTAAAAATTGATCACAGAAACTATTTTCTGATGATATTTTAGCCAAAAAAAAATATAAATTTCTTAATGACTTATTTAAAAGCACCATTTTCAATTGGTTTTTGTTAAGTAATTTAGTATTTCTTTAAATAATGAATTCCATAAATTTAATTTTATACAAATTGTTTATAGTTAGGTAATCCATTACAAGATGATCCAAGTTACATCGAAGAAGCAATAGAAAATTATCCACTGCGTTTACTAACATTTTTGAAAATTGAATTAAATCAGTATCGCCGATCATTAAATATTCCTTATTCCACGCCATTGTCAAGGTATCTACAACGATATAATATTGTTGAATTGCATTTGGACAATATTTTAAAAAGTGTAGATGACAGCAAGCTTCCATTTGAGGTAATTTCATTGTTTACATTTTATATTTCTTCTATGTATTAATGTTTTCATAATTTATATATTTTTTTTATAGATTTTCCAATGTCCAAATGTTAAAATTTTATCTCTCAAACATAATCACCTACGACAAATACCCAGTGCAATTGGTCGACTATCAAAGCTTGAAGTCCTTATACTCACTGACAATTTATTAACTGTACAATCAATTCCTTTTAGTCTAAAGTTTTGTGTGAATCTAAAAGAACTATATGTTGACGATAACCAGCTTGAAGCATTACCTGGATTTTTAACGAGCATGAAACATTTAGAATTGGTTTATAGATTGGGTAATCGTAATTACTTCAAGTCATTTTTTTTATGGTATCACACTGATTATGATCATAGGTAACTGTAACTTCAAAAAAAAATGTTTGCTATCTTAATATTATATTATAATTTTGTTTATTTATTTTTAACTTACCGTAGAGCTCGTAAAGAGATTTGGAAAAATTATTGGATAAGAGGAGAAGCAGGTTCAAGACCAGCTGTATTATCTCTTTTGGACATTAGCGTTGAAAAAATATTTTCAAGTGGAATTAATTTTTTTAATGAAGAAATCCCAGAATCCTTAAAACATTATATGTCCTTGACTTACCTTAATTACAATATATGTAACTTCTGCAATGTTGCAACTGACTGTTCAAAACCAGGTTATTATAAATTAGTATTTTTAAACGAATAATGAAAAATTAATGTTCTGTTTTTAATTACAGGTTATAGTACGGTAACGTTTCTAACTCCTTATCTGGGAAACACCTGTGTTCCATTTCAACACTGGGCGTGTTCTAAAGAGTGTGTTCTTGCAATCGAAGGACCAGCAAAAAAGTTACAGCTTGAAGGAGCAGAGAGACTGGACCACGAGTATTCTAATTATATAGCGACTTCTAATAAAACTGCTGAAAAGTCTAATATAAAACTAAAACGTAATAAATGTTGTATAAGTTAAATTACTTAGTTATTCGACATGTTCATAAATAACAAATATGTACTTTGTTAATCATTTGTATGAGACTGATTTATATTTTAAATATTTTAATTGTGATAAAGTGGCCATTTCGGTTTCAAACTATTTAAAATATAATCCATTAAATAAATTGTAAATATTTGTTCGATAAGATAAATCAAATTTGATATTTTTAAAGTTACTTAGTAGATTGATGTTACTGAATTCATGAAATAAATTGTATTATAACAAATATGGATTTAGTAAAAAAAAAACTAAAATAAAGATGCTAATAAAAATTATTGATTTTATGTTTTCTTTATCGCACTTTTTACTACAGACTTGTATACATATTTATAAAGACAACATTGTAGCTTAAATTGAATATTATAATTTACTACATTTTGTAATGATATTGGACGTTTATTATAAAACAATGTTGACTGTTTATTTTTTATTTTTTTTTAATTGCAATAAAAACTACTAAAGAATCTTGTAGTAAATTTTCAAGATTTTTGACTTTAAAATAAAAATGTTATCAATTATCATGAAATAATCTAAAATAATTTGCTTTAAATGCTTATAAGTCGTAGTACCTCCGCTTGGAGGCCTCCACAGTCTGTCTAATCTTCCTTTTTACTATTATTTTTTATTTATTTTAACCTAAACCATCAATTGTTCCTCTTTTTTTTGTAACAAACTGAATAAAAGCTATGAAAAAATAAAAATTCTTATTTTTGTGAATTTATTTTTAATATTATTCAGCTGTCTTTGAAACAATATATTTGAAGCCTTGTATCTGAACTTATTATATATTAAAATATTTATTTACTATAATATATATATATATATATTTATATATAAATAAATAATATACTTATTATCATAAACTTATAACTAAATAAAATCATAAACTCCTAAACTTTATTACCTTTAATACCAATATTATCTTTAATTTTAACCACTTTTGACGGTTGTAGAAATACAACTGTGTTTTTAACCAAGAGATTTTTGACTACAAGCTATTTTTCTTATCACAGTATCATAATTTATAACGAGTTTATCTAATAATTAAAAAAAAAAAAGAATTTGGGGTTATTTTATTTAAAAAATTTGGCTTTTTCGTAACCAACTCTTATCGTTATAGAAATCGGGAAAATTTTTTCTAATTTTAAAAAAGCTCAAATTTGTTCACATTTAAAAGAAAATACTATTTCATCAACACGTTATGAATTATGCTTGCTGCCAAAAATTGACTTGTTAAAATTAAAGAAAATTTTAATTTTGATGGTATTAAACAAGGAGTTACTGAAAGAAAAGTTTATTTTACAGTTGAGCAATGTTGTTAAAAATACTATTCAAAAGTATTTCAAATAGGTATTTAAATACTTCAATTAAAAAGTATTAAAATATTTATTTAAATACCTTTGCTAATAAATATTTAAATACAAATACAAATATATTCAAAAAGTATTTAAAATATTTTTAAATACATTTTTTTAAGCTTTATTATTTTCTGATTCTTAATTCTTAAAACTAATTATTAATTGTTTAATTGAATTTCAGTGTTGAGTTTTCTTTTAACATCTATTGAAACAGTAGTAGCAGGAGCTAGTAATTCTCTAACAGACTTGACATTACTATGTTTATCCTATAAATTTTAGAAAATTTAGATAAAAAAAACAAATATAGATGGTACTAGGTTATTTTTTTATCTGATCTTAACTTTTAATTTTTTATACAATTTGACTGAATTTGTACAATTATAGTATCTAAGGAATAAAAAGGCACACAGGACAATAGTTACAATTACCTAGTAATAAAAAATATGAATTTAGAATCATATCTTTGTTTGTCGATTACAACATTTATAATCCCCATGTCTTTTCATAGACGATAAGCAACTATTTCATAATCTATAAACCAAACTAAGTAGTAAACATCTTGTTTGAAAATGTTGTATTTAATATTTTTAAATACAAAATATAATAATATGTATTTGAAATATACTTGAAAATTGAAATACTTCTGTTTAAAAGTATTTAAATATTAATATTTAAATATTTAACAAGCAGTTGAGCTTATACAAGATGTGTACTTAAATTTGTATAAATTGCTACAAGTAACTTTCACTATACTTGTTAGTGTCACAACCTTCAAATGTTCATTTTCTTCATTGCGGCAATTAAAAGTTTGTCAGAGAACAACAATGAGACAAGAATGATTTTCAAATTTATTAATAATGAATATCGAAAGAGATGTAACTAATAGTTTCAGTCTTGACACAAAAACAACTATTTGTACATTTTCAGTAACAAATAGAAAAAATAGTATTGATTTAAACATTTTATATGATTGATATTACTTTGTATTATGTACATTTTGTATTTGAGTAAATGTTAAATTAAAAATGTGTTGTGGTATTTAATAACTTATCATTTTTTAATTCACTACGTTGTTTTATATGAATTTATTTGTGTCTTGTTAGTAGCCAGCCAGTATAATAGTTAGGGTATAATATCTCAAAAGTTAGTAACTAAATTGAAAATATTCATACAAGAACGTCCGCAGGAATTTGTCAAAGGGAGGGCAAAATATTTTCCTTTTTACATTTTTTGTCTCACTATCCTATTAGTTATATAGTATATTTGTGACTTGTTTTCTTTCATATAAACAAAGAATGTAAAAATATTTATGAATTATACATATATAGTTAGTTAAAACTTAATCTTAAAGCATTCATTTTTATTAATTGTTATGCAATTTTAAATAATCAAATACATTTTTTTTTATGAATAAAATGTTACTGTTGATTTTATAATTTATAAAATTAAATATTTCTAGCTTATTCAGTCATTGATACCACAACTTGAAAAGTTTAAACTATTGTAGGTATGCCACCCATGAACATTTAGTTTTATATAACAAAAAAGTAAAAACTTGGTTGACACAGCAGTATTGCACTTGTTCCCACCCTTATAACTCATAATCTATAAAAACATTGTTCTAAGTTCTGACGTTCATAATTGAGTGTAATAAAAATTAATCGGTAAAAAATTTTTTTTTAAATGATTGAAGTTGGGATTACGATGCACTTTAGTTTTCCAAATCTAGCTACGTAATACTCTTGTTTTAACATACCTATAAAGAATTTTTTGACGATTTAAAATTCTAAGGTCATTTTTAGATTTAAAGGTTTTTGGAGCATTTTGAAGTTTTTCTAAATTTAAATTTTGCACATGTTTTTACATGAATTTTATAATAAACATGATTTAAAGTCTAACCTTATAGGTATAGAAAAAAAATTGTTTATTTTCAGATTAAATAGGTAGTCCAAATGATAAGTTCCGACTGTAAAACTTTTATACAATCATTAAAAGTTCAAAATGTATATTTTAATTTAAACCGAATTTATTTTAAAATTTATATCTTTAATATTAAAAATAAAAATAATTTAGTGCACTATTGAGAATTACTAAGTGGGCTGAAGTATACCACGTTTTAAGGAGTAGTGTTTAGGCATTTCATATTACATGTACATTTTGGCTGTGTCAATGTGTGTGAGAAGTAAATTAACATTAGTGTGTGTAATGTGTTATCCGTTATCGCATTTTTCGGGACAAAATCTGAATTCTCGGATTTACGATAATAAACAAAATAAACCATGCCGCATGAGAATTCTTCGGAAAAAAGTATATTATAATTTTTCTATATAATTATTAATTACTATCAAATATATTCATTCTTAATATAGTCGCGTAGTAATCGCATTATAAAAAAAATAAATTATAAATTAAAGATAAATTTATATATATAAAAATAAAAGCTATTGATAAGTATATTAATTTGTAGTATTTATTTTTTATCACAAATCAATAAACAAAAAAAAAAAAAAATTAGATTGAATAGGTATTATAATAATAATTCGTTAATTTCTTCAATAAGTAGTTGAGGCAACATGTTTTCTAAATAAAATGTTTTTAATTTCATTTTCATTTTGTTTTCTCAAAAACTGGCATTATTATTCCTAATTTTTTTAGATTCTGAGTGGAACAATGAATGTTTTGGTTTTACAATGATGTGTTTATTATTTTTTTATTTTTGTATCTGTGTATACGATAAGTAGTAGAAATAATGCTTCGATTTTCAACTTCAGTATATTGTTCGATGGGAAAGTGAATATTGTTGGTGTATTGGGGAGGTAAATATTTAAAATTCTTAGTAATTTTCAAAAGCGCAGTGGAAAACAAAAGAAAAATTAAGGAAAAACGACAATTTTTAAGCAAAGTCGATTTTGATTTTTGGTGTTACTATAAAACAAATTACCATAGACACATTAAATTTTCACTGGTTGTTAATATTTCCATTTTCTATACATGATAAATTTTTCAAAATATTTTGATTTGTTTTGAACTCTTTAGGGACATTTTCAGTTTCCAATATTATTAGTTTTTTTTTCTATGAATGTCAATAAAACTTTATTGGTTGATTAAAAATACTTGAAAATTTAATACAAGGCTTCTACTATATTGTTTCAATGACATTTGAAAAATATTAAGAATAGTCACTTTTTTTTTATAAGCATTTAAAGTTCAAAAATTGACAAAATATGTAAAAATCACTAAAATTAGCAAATTATTTTGAATTAAGAATTCGTAAAATTTTATCTTTTTAAATCTAAAATTTTAAAATGTAATACAAGATTCCTTATAAGGTTATATACCATCATCAAAAAACAAAAATGTCTATAAGAAAGTCAAATTAAATTTTTATGAGCTTTTGAAGTATTGAATTTTTACAACATTGGATATTCACTCGATTTCGCAAGTAGCGATTTTCTTATTTTCTTGTAATTCAAAAATGGATAACCGTAGACACTTGAAATTTATATTGTATGTTTATTTTATCAATTCTTATACTTGATAAAATTTTCAAAATATTTTGATTTGTTTTGAGCTGTTTGCGGACAATTTCATATTTCAATTTTTTTTTTCTATCAATATCAAATAAGTGAGTATATATTGGGCCAAAAAGTGTAAAAATTTAATACAAGGCTCCTGATATATTGTTACAATATCAGTTGAAAAATATTAAAAATACATAAGCACAATTTTTTTTATAAGCATTTAAAGATCGAATTTTGACAAAATTTATCAAATTTAAAGTTGAATATTTCATGTCGCCCGTACTCCCCTACTTGCCCCCCCCCCTGCGGACACCCTTGTGTTCATACTTAAAATCTTACTAATAAGTTCATATTAATTAATTATTTCAATCATAATTGTAAATTTGTTGTTATTTAGCTTTTGGTGAAACAATTTGTAGAATATTTGAAAAAGGTGAAGTGAGCCCTTTGAAAACACAAGGACGATAAGGAAAAATTTTACACTGGAAAATTACATTTTATCTATAAAATGACTTCTGTTTCTTAATTATTTAATCTTCAATTTAATTATGTTTTATTTTTAAACATTTTAAAACATTTCTTTTTCAACTTATATATATACTTATATTGATAATTTATATCATAAATATTTTTTTTGAATGTGATCCTTTTTTGTTTGCTGTATCTGTGTGAGCCTCGTAAAACAAATTTATACGTTGTGCACCCAAAACTTCTTTAATTTTCTTTCTGAAATTTATTTATAGCAATGTATTAATGTAAATTTCAATAATAATAAAATCAAAATTCAAATAAAATATAGATTGTTGATATGTATTGACTAGGAATGTAGCATGTAGGTTTCTTATTATTAATTCCTAAAACAGAAATGTATTATACTAAGAAATTTGAGATTGGAACCAAACTTAAATTTTAACTTGATTCATAAAAACTTAAACACAGTGATTAATAAACTCTAAGAGCTTATAAATCAGAACTACCTATTGATTTATTGTTTATATTATTTATTAAATTATCTACCAAATAGAATTTAGGGTTTTTGCTATTTAAAAAACTGATTTACATTGATTTTAATCTAAGAAAAAATAATGCTTTAATCTATAGCTTTGAAAGTGGCTTATGGTAGCAAATCAGATCTAGCTAGTGTTGCGTTGTGAGGTTAAAATTAGATACATATTTCAAAGTACTTATCGAAATAATAAAAAAGTAAATTTTTATGCAAAACTAGTTTTACCTATCAAATTAACATCTGTTGACTTGATTTTTTTACGAAATATCTATTTTAACATCTTCTAGTTATGATATAAATTAAAAAAAATTCTAGATTTTTTGTTATTTAAACATTTGAAATTTTTTTTTGATTTATAGAGATATTACTATTTGTGAGTAAATGGGTTTCTAGTTTTAATACCAAAGGATTTCAATTTTAACACAAAATGCTTTATACGTGCTAGAAACCTAATAAAAAAGTTACCATAAAGTCACAAACATTGTCACAAGCGAAGGAAGTTCTAATGTTGACAACAATGAATATTCATATGAACAATTGCAATAATATATAACATTGAAATCTATAGGTAATAAATAATCTCAAACAATTTTTCGTTTAATAATTGTTGTGTACAAATGTATTAAATATAGAAACTTGAAACATTCCATTACTTGGATTATCATATTATTGTATACAAATAATCAAATTTTAAAAATATAAATTTTTTTGTAACAACTTATATAACCTAAATAATATTAGGTAGGTCGTAGGTACATATAAAAATTAAATAAATAAACAAATGTTGTTATTTTTTACTTTTTAGTGTATAATTATAGATTCAGTTTCAAGGTTTATTAGGTTATATAAGTTTATATTATAATTATTCGAGATGTAGTATTTTACACGGTCACCATATTCCGTGTTTAGAATTTCCTTGTTATTCACCAAATTAAATAATATTGTTTAGATAAATTGATTCTTCTAAGATCTAGTAATTCATAACCCCTGAGTGATTTAAATAACCACACTATAATGTTCAATCTAGAACCTATAATATCCTAACATGGTACATTTTATTACAAGGTAATTAAATTGTTTATTCAGTAAATGTTGTGGTTTAATGTACAATTAGTAGATATTTGCTAAATTATTTTTTCTTACATACCCAATAGCCATAAGGTTATTCCTATTGTTTTTGGATGCATTGCTTGTCCATACTGATATTTTAGTTCCTATGCTTGCTACGTTAACTATAGCTCCATTAACTTCAGAACTCTCGTATACTTCACCAATTAAACTCATCACCTAAAAGTAATAATTATTACAAATTTAAATTAATTAGAAAAATAAATGTTCTCCTCACTATTTGTTTCCAATATTCATCTACAAGGGTGCATTTTTTTAAAGGTGGCAACTGCAATAACCAACGTCCACCAGCCTTGTTTTTTTCATCATCCCAATTAGGTTTGATTCCATTCTTAAAATAGCTGTATTGACTATGCCACGAAAGTTGACTTGGAGGTTTAATGTGATTGAATAAGCTAAAATGTTTATAATTAGTATTACTATTTTTTTTTTTTTTTGAAACTAAGATTTATTTTTAAACTTATATACACAATAAAAAGTAAATAAATCTCTACTTAGTTATAGTTCCAAAATAAAATTATGGCACTTTAAAAGTGTAGGAGTGTACCTTCTTTAAGTCATAAACCTTTTTTTATAAATAGTATAAATCTTAAATTTTTTTTTTATTACTGAAGAAAACTTACCACCAAAAATCTTCAACAGTTTCAAAACTAGATACTTCATGTATATCTTCAACCCAAATTTTACTCTTTTTTTCATAGAACCAAAGTGTCCATTTATTCGCTAAATAATGTTTATCATCCAATCGCATCATTGCAATAGCTTCTTCAGTTTCATTTAGTTGTTTGTTTTCAACTTTTGGTAATTTATCTGATTGATGAACAGCCTCTACCTAAGTATACATAACATATATTTGGAAAAAACAAAAGTAATTACAAATAATACAAATAAAATTGTATTGGACAATCCTAAAGACCTAATTTCAAATAAATTTCAGAACTCATAAGACATAAGAGTTATACTACTCTGTTTAGAATAAGAACGCACCGCTCTTGCACATACAGTAGAAAAAGCGGAGTAAACAGCCAGTACCGGATCTAGGGGGAGGAGCGATCCGGGACCCGTGCCACTTTGGCTAATCATAGAGGGGAGAAAATTTCAAAGTTTAAACTTATAAAGCATATACAATAGAGGCGCTAATATTATGTTGTGCCCCAGGTAACATAATTTGTAGATCTGATAATGTAAACCAGCAATGGTCTGTGGAGTGGGGATGGATGTGCAAATAATGATGTAATTTGGTCTGCCACCTGGGCTGTTCTTATTCTGAATAGAGTATGCACAGGGTTGGGCATATCTTAGTTACATGTATCTAAGTTATGTAACTCGGTTACTTTTGTAATTTGTAACAAGTTAATCATTTTCAATTTAACTTGCAACTTGTAACTAGTTAAAAATGTCCATGTGACTTTATGTGAAAGTGGAAAGTTACAATTAAAAGTTACATTGTGCTTTTTGTGTTTTAATAATTTATAAGTGGATCTGCAAAAGCAACAAAAAAACGAATAATTCGTTCATTTTGGTTTTCATAATTAACCTGGCCAGGGGATATTCAGTGGTTAAACTATTATGGTTGGTATATCTTTTTTTTCCTAACATACGACCATAACATTATTTTACCTAGCCTCTGGCTCGTCAATAATTCTTTAAACATTTACCAATGTACCTTTAGCTTTAAATGTAACCTAGTTACCTAACTGTAACTTGTATATAGTTACTCAACATAAAAGTATCTATTGACTTGTAACTAGTTACAATAAATTGAATAACTTGCCCAATCCTGAGTATTATTAATTTATCTATAACTTTTTATAACTTTGCATAACTCTACATATTTAAATATCCTAATACAAATGACACTTTATTTCTGTGTGAAAGATGACCCATAGAATTGCTAAATATGAAAGATAAGTCCCATAAATATTGGTAACTACTTTTTCTGCAATAGGTGTGTCTAGAAATTGATTAAATTGGAGGATTTAGACAAGTGAGAATGTGAAATAAACTTAAATTATTTATAGCCCTTTCTGACACTGATCCTAACTTTTAATAATACCTAATACCACTCTACGAGTAGTATATAATAACGTGGAAAAAAGTTTAATTTTCTGTAGAGATATAATGTGTTGTAAATTCAGACAATACCCAAACTATTGAATGACAATAGAAAATTCTGAAAAAGAGATATGAAATAAGAGTAAATGGTAGGGATGTCTTTATTATTTCTGAGACAACTGAAAGTGATGTGGGGATCTTTTTACCCAAATTATATTCGACCAATTCTTAACAAGGATTCTTTTATATTATAAATTATACAAATCACAATATGACAATTTAGGATTAATAAGAATGAAAGGTGAAACAGGGAGTATAAATGGCAGGAATTGCACATCGCCAACTAGGTAATCTTATTTAGAATAGACTATAGAGTAATGTTGTTTTAAAGAAGGCATTAAAGATAAAACAGATTCATTAATTTATATCTTCATGGATGCAATTACATGAGTAGTAGATGGTCAATAAGATATACAGGGTGCGGCGTCAAACCCAACGATTTAAAACGAACTGGTGGGCTTGGTTAAAGTGGTAAAGATTTTGGGAATGTTCTTATCGCTTTTAAATACCCGGAATTTAGTAATCATGGAGCATTGGTCGAGTGAATAGCGTGCGTGCGAATAGCGTATTACAAAAGTAATGGTATATGTAGTAGTAATGTGTAGCTAACCACAATAAGACATAAATAAGACATTTACCTGACACAATCTCTAAAAAATGAAGTTTTTAAATATATAACATAAAATTCCACTTGTGTCACTTTTATTTGTTTGGCGAAAAATTAATACATTTTTTTTTTCTATTTTCTATTTTGTTTCAAATCGTCGGATTTGACTGCCGTACCCTGTATTATATAAACTATGCATGCATTTTTCTAGTGAGAAAACCCATACACTATTCAGCTACCTATATTTTATACTAGTATTAGTAGTTAAGGCTGTAATATTTCTACTAACTAGAATTAGCCTGTACCCCATACTGACTCTACTACCAACCAACTCCATCACACACACACAACCAAAGAAAATTGGTAAAGCGATCGCTTGACATGTGTCATGTGTTACACCAGCTCACATTTCTTCAAGTTTCCTAAATATATTGATTATAATACCCAGGTAAAAAGTTATACCTATATTAGATTCAGTGGCGGCTATCTCAACAAATATAACAGGTGCTCACTTAAAATGAACTAGTACCTACCCCCTACCAGTATTTCGGGTAACCTAAAAAATTACTCATTTCACAAAAAACTTTTTAACCTACTAACATTTAAAGTTTATTTTAAAGACCCAATAGTTACAACCCACCCACCCCAATTATGAAAGGGGTGCTTGAGCACCTTTTCAGATACGTGATAGCCGCCACTGATTAGATTAACAATTGTCAAAATTTATTTCATTTTAATTTATTTTAAAAATACCAGAAGTTTGAGATATTTTAGAAGATAATTATTTAAGTTTATAATATTATATTCATATTATGTAAATTTGATCAATTAATTAATAATTATTAATAATAATAATAATAATAATTGTGTTTAAATTATAACCACAACTTTAACCATTTAGGCACCTGTAGAATTTGGCAAATCACACAGTATAATTTAAAACAATGCCTAAAAGTAAAATTGTATTTACTTAAGTACCAGTATTCATGTTAAAAAATATATATATTTTTATAACCGTGTATACCTAACCTAAGCATAATATTTAAATAGTTATATAACTTAGGTATAGCAGTAGTAATAAAATGTGTTATTTTTAATGGTGTAGAAAACTAAAAAAACAGTTTATGAAATATTATTTCTATATATAACTGTAGGAATCATTAAAATTAATACCAGTATGTCCAAACTAAATACTCAATTTCAATATTAAGTATTACTGAAGGTTAAATATATTGTTTACACTGATGGGTGCGTAATGTTAATGATCAGCGGAACTTAACTGGGTACTTGATATTGGAATAATAATAATAATTAATAAATAAGCAATATTATTAATATCATGCCACCATACATCATTGCTAGGACTCATATTAATATAAGTAGAGCACCAAGAATATTTCAGAAGACAGTAACAGTTCGAGACTGACTTATTCACCAAATGTAAGACTAATGCTTGTCGTGGACTTTTACACCGTCACACATGACTTAGTCTTTCCTAGCTTATATAAATATGTAGCATATACCTAGCTATTTTGTGTATAATTAAATATCCAATCTTTATCTGTTTTATTTTAAATCAACGTATTGTTAACTAAAGTTTATTACAAACAAATCTATCTTTCTTGCAAACATCTAAAAGTCACTCCAATAGTTTTGATATGAACCAGTTCAATATGACAATATCGTGCACAGAGATCAGTACAACGGTAAAAACATACACTTTAATCTTATAACTGAAAAGTTTATTGTATCAAGTTTAAAAAAAAGTATTTCTTACCTCAGCCATGTCCACGAGTGTATTATTCCCTTGAAGTGTGAATTTTGAAATTAAAATACCAGTGGCGAGTATTAACACACGATTAATGAAATTCTGTGGTAGCCACTAGCAGCTCGGTAGGTAAAAAACGTCAACAAAACTACTACAACTACGGGAATGTGTTGTGGAAATACCTAAATAACGTTATACACTCAAAACCTATTTGTGTGAAACTGTATCGCCAGTAGTCGCCACTCGGCACTCGCCGATTGATAGACCTAGATAATAATATTATATTAAACCACGAGGATAAACGTAAATCACAATACCTACTATTAAATTATTATCTTAAATATCGGGATAAACAACACAGATAATATAAATAGTAAGTTTGTATTCGAATTCCGTGTAAACCGTGTGGTTAACAAGTTGTTAAAAACATTCAAATTACTAATTACTGTTTACTCCGCCATGGTCGTGTACTATCACCGTACTCTCTATACCGCGACCGGTCTAACTGTAAACATAACCAAAGAAACGGACATGATAACCACGAACTACTACATAGGACTGGACACTGTATAAAATAAGGTTAGCCACTGGCTACAAAGTTGTACGGTGGTCGTACGTTCGCTACGTGACTGCCTCTAGTGGCATTATTATATACTAACTGTGTTGTTTTAAATTTTATTATTTTAAGTGATAATTCGTACAGTCGCAGCGACTAGTCACTACTAATAACTGAACAAGAATCAAAAATTAAAAAATCAAAATCAATGTCAAATTTTTTTTATTTTATATTCACTATTAAGTGTTATCCCCAAATAAATAAATGCGCATTACTACGTTGCGACCAATTTAGAAAGTTTTTTTTTTGAGTGATTTTTGATTTGCTTTTGGTTGGGTTTACGTGAATGTTGTGCCTTTCTCATAGTAACATATTAATAAGTAATTTTAAATAAAAAAATTTAATTTTTGTGATTAGCACATGGAAATGCAAGTAAATGTTAGTTGCTTTCAAAGAAAAAGTCCCACCACTAAAATGTTGTTTATGACAAGTACGATTGTACGAAACATTTCGGTTATAACCATTCCAATTGTTAGCAAAATTTTTTCAGTATTTAAGGATTGATTCATCCTTTGGCAATAAAAATAAAGTAGTATTTTCGTTATTACTTTTATTTAATCTACTGTCGTATATTATTTATACTGAACATAAGCGACCCATATTAAATAATGTGAAGTATAATAATATAGGTAAATAAAATACAATACCTAACAGACTCATAGAAATATATAGAAACAAAATTGAAATAATATTATTTAGGTTAATCGATTTATTTTTATTTTTTTCTTATTTCATAAGTCTATATTATAATATAAATATTACGTTCATAAAAGTTAAATAGGTACCAAAATATGTAGTACATCTAGTACGTCACTAGGTAGCATCATAGTTGCAAACGTACCTACCCGTACAACTTTGTGACCGTTTCTCCCCCTCACAAAGAGTGTCCAGTAATATGTAGTATGATCACCAAATAACCAATTTTTCCTATCACTGTGCAATTTCCCCAGACTTGGCAGAGACAGTAAAATTCCCATATAATTGTAGTGGGAATAAAATCGTTGTCTATGATATTAGTTTTTCTTCAAGTCTTGGCCCTGTGGAACTGTGGAAGTATGAAATAAACGTGCAGTCATTTTGTGATCATGCCCGATTATTTAGTCATGACTGTTAATAGCGTTTTCGATTTGACGCCACTGAGTGCAAAAACGTATTCGATTTGACCAATATTCAGTGAACTGGTGCAAGGTTTTGTATTCGATTTATTGCATTGAGTCACTGAAAATAATCGTGCGCACTTCCTGCACTGCCGATTTTATGAGTACAACGGATGCATTTTATAAATTTAAACCGTTTTTTTCTATAACGGGACACATTATCCCCCAATTTCCTATTTATTATTTATAATTATTATTTTTATATTTATATTATCTGATAATATTGTTTTTTTCTTATTCGATGTATAGAAAACTAGTTCAACGCTCGCTTAGACGAGTAGTGCTTATGTAATTTCAGTGCACAATTTTGTCAAATCAAAAACGGTAGTGATCTGTGGTTATTTAAATGTGGTTATTAATGATTAGTGAAATCATTTTAGTATTTTACCTAATCAATATTATCAATTAATACTATATTATACAACAAACGGGAAACTCTTCAAATTTTTGGGAGGCACTGTGGTCTGTGGCTATCACTTCACTAGTGGTTGCCTATTCATCTCCTTAATACAAAATGCTACATTAATTTAAGGGGTATTTTGTATAGTCTAGTCTGTTACTAGTGAAATTGATCGCCAGCCATTAATATTAAGTTTCTCTCACAGATATACGAGTATAGGTACTATAATAGTATATATCTGTTTTATAGTACATAATATCTGTGGTTTATTATACTCTCCTATATTATTTGATATTATTATTTAATTTTCAATTTCTTGGATTTATTATATTATTATATTATGGCGTTGTTGATTTGACAATTTTTGAGTGTACCAAGTATGTGAGTGTTGCACACTTGCACTAGTAAGTTATGCACCAGTTTTTAATAAATCGAACACGAAAACAAAATTTGAACCAGGAATGGAGAAATAGAGCTCATAATAATTATTATAGTACCAAAGTGAACTGGTACTGCTATGGTAATTTTGTTTTTCGTAAAAATAATGTTTGATTATAAATTTTATGTATATTTTCTTTTCTTATACGAATACACTGATACTGTATTATTATCACTCTTTGAGTTTTTATTTAATTATTCGAAATTCGATGTCGTAATGGAGCAGGTTAGGTGCCAATAACTGGAAAAAATGAATTCTTAAGGTGCCAATAATTATACACTTTACTAGACAATACTACAATAGCCAACAATTTCGGGTTCAATTGTTCAAAGCAGCAATTACTTTATTAACACATCTAGAAATAGACGACTGTACTTTATTTTTAAATTATAAATCAGCTATTTCCAACTGGCGTTTAATACGACCCAGTAGCAAAGAAATTTAAAGCTAATAAAACCTAAAAAAAAATCATTTTTTATTTGCCTTTGAATTTCAAATGATAATACATTTATGGCACGAATATTGTTGTATTTTCAACTTTTCTTCTACTGTTCTAATTTATTGCTAAGAGTAATTTATTCTAGATCTAAATTAATAACAATAGGTAGTGCAATCTGTAAATAAATGTCAATAGTAAAAGTAATATTTTTATGGCAATATGCATCAATATTAGGTCATCCATAAACACAGATATCGAAGAAAACTCAATAAGAATATCTAATTTTCTTTAATTAAAAATGTTATTTAGAATTGATTTATTTGATGTCACACAGAAGAGCAACGCCTCTAGATACCCAGTGGGCCTCTAACGTGCCCTTTGGTGATTTGAGCCGCAGTTCGCACACGTACGTCAGTCCCGTTCTTTTTGGCTTTTTGTAAACGGGACATTCGTAGCCTGGCATCAGCTTATTTCCGACCGTGTTTATCGCAAATATGAGTATGACCGGCATTTCCGTGAACATGATCTTGTGGAGCGATTCCTGCAGTTCCTTTTCCCTCCTGTTCCAACTCGCCCCGTCCAAGAACAATCCGTACACATAGACCCCTTCCTACGGATCGGACAATATGGAAAAATATAATCAATCGGTGGGCTGATTACTTTTTTGTCTTTGTCATAAACTTTTAGCGCAGAAAAAAATGTAAAACTTTTTGTAGAAAATATAGGAAAATATCAATAAAATACTAAAAATAAAAAAAACTAACGAGTTGGTATCGGATATCCAGTGCCGGCGCTAGGGGAGGACAAATGGGACATTTGTCCAGGGCCCCGCGCTTGTTAAAGGGCCCCGTGATTTTTAATTATCATCTTGATACGAATACCGTGGTCTACCGTCGTATATTGCATTATTCTGGCTGCAGCGGTCGCGTACTTAGATATTAAACAATTTATTATTTTATTCAAACATTTTGATGAATTAATTTATTTTTAATTGATGATTTTATGTAGTTGTTAAAATAAATGTAAATTAATAAAATAACCAGCCCTTATGAATTTATTAGCCTATGATTTTCCACTCAAAGGTTTAACTGAAACTCACGCTACGCCAATAATTCTGTGCTGAGCGAGGTTTCATCAGGAGGAATCGCACTCGAATGTGTTGTCTCCGTTTACTCAAGTAGGTAAGGTAAAGTGGGGTAAGTGTGACGCAAAAATGAAAAGTTAATTTTGAATTTGACAATACTTTTTTTGTTTTTAACTTAAAGTTGTTATTGTTCCATAATGTAACACCTCTAGATATACATAATTGGAATTTATAGTCAACAAAGTTATATTATCACTCACCTAAGAATAATTTTTTTTTTTTTTTAATTTTAAAACGTCACACTTGCCCCTTTTCATGGGGCAAGTGCAAAATCGGATTGTTTTTGCTATTAGTATTACATAAAATTATATATGGGGCAAGTGAATGCCAAAGATAAAAATAAGCTTTAATTTGATTTTTGTTTCATTAAAATATCTTGATTCATTAAGAATTGACAGAGCATTATTTAAATTTAATTATTTACCTGTATTATATATAAAAACAGTACTTTTTTTAAAATCCTGATTTAAAAAAAAGCTAAAATTTCACTACTCTCTGAGAACCTAAAGGCTATTACCTATGACCAGGGCCCCGCAATACCTAGCGCCGGCACTGCGGATATCATAATGCATGATGCATTCGTGGAGAACTCAGGCTGAATTCGGATTTCAAGTAGGAATAAACAGATAAGGGAAGACTGCATGTTTATAAAAAATGTTATATTACACTCACCAGTGGTGGTTTTTTGATGTCTTGTTTATGGTACACCGTTACTTCGTTCTCGAGCACAATGTTGTCAAGCGTCCAACCTTTGTGAGCCCTGGATATTTCCTGTTTCATAGCCGTCAAGAACCCCTGAGGGTTGAAGAAACCAGTCATCCAAAACTGAGCCGGCTTTTCCCTGAACACCCACGCCGTGATCTGGCTGTGCCGGTTCAGCAACTCGTTGAACCAAAAACCTATTGCAGACGACGTCCAAGAGGCCCTCAGCCAGTGTGCCGGGATGCGGCCGTCGTACAAGTAATCCAATGTATCGGACAAAACCTGCAATTAAAAATCGTAATATTATTATAAAATACGTAGGAAATTGAAGAAACTGAGATTCGATAAAAAAACAATTTTAAAATGTAATTTGATGAAAATATTCTAGTTAACATTTTAAGTATCTATCAAATAAATACATACATTTAATATCGTTTATATTAAATTAGAATAGAGTGTTACTGCCGGGTAAGTACTCCCCTCACACTTTCAAAGTAAATTGTAATCCAGCTCATATTATGCTTATTGTAACTATTATTACAGATTGTTTATATTCAAATAAATTTAAAAAAAAAAAAAAAATAAATTATTGGTTTATATATGATAATCATAATACGGTTTAACTGCATGGGTTTTATATAGGTATTTTCGTGAGTAAAAATATTATTGCAATAGTAGAATGTATAAATACGAGTGTACTTTTTGTCCTACTACATTACTACTATCTTAAGCATAATTATTGTTATCGATTTACTTCGTTCATAATGATTATTCCGTCAATAGCTAATAAAAGGTCTTCTAAAGTAGTTTTCACTATTTCTGTAACCTTTTGGATGCGATCGATTTCTTGTCCTAAGAATATGTTCATAGGCTGCGTCGGACCCATCAACGTTAACCTATCATAATTTATGAATATTTATGTGTGTTATATAAACAATTTTTTTTTATGTTATCATTACCATTATAATAATAACTTATAATTTATAATTACCTTTCTTTGATTGTAAACATGTTGAAAGAGAGAGGCAGCTTTTCCAACAAATCCGAACTCGTAACGTACACTTTTTCTTCACGTGTCACTTCACTACCGCCACCAGAACCTTTTGGTTGAATCATTAATATAGTGTTGAACATCTCTTGAACCATGTTAGTTTGGTATCTAAAAACGTATACCAGTTATCGCATAATATATGGTATTATTTTATTCGATACCTATATGATATTATATATAATATATGAATAACATTTTATACTCACGTTATATCGGTGTTTGGATGAAGTCCACACGCTTGTGGTGGATCTTTCAATGGCATTTCTTCTATCGCCGATAGATACTCAGATAGTTTATTAAAAACCAACACGTTGTAACCTTCGTAGAAACAAAACTTTTCGGTAAACAGTTCGTCGGTAAACCAAAGTTCGGTAAAATTGTTTAATAGTCGTCGGTCATAGTCATCGGTTACCCGGCCACCATAATGCACTTCGGCCAACATGTACCTTAAATGAATATTTAAGTAATTCCAAGAACATGTAAAACCACTTTACCGGTTTTACAAGTAAATCACTTATTAATATTAGTAGCAGTTAATAAGTCTACACCTTAAAAAAAAAAAACAATAGAGCTTAGAAAGGCGAGTATTAAAACTTAAAATTCGTTCATTCTAGAACAGCTGCTGGTACAGTAACATATCCAGTGGCGCCGAACACGGGTCTCAACTGGGGAAAATTCCCCAGAACTATTTATGGGTGAGTGGGTGATAATAAGTGATCAGTGGTATTTAGTATTTAAACATCATCATAATTTAACAATAATGGTAAGAAAAGGCAATAATAGTATGAGTATGGCAGGTCGACAGGCAGTGTATCATGATTATAATGCACTATTCGAGAGTAGCTAAACATTTTTTTAAGTAGGTTGGTCTAACACCAGCATTTTTACCCATAACATGAAATATAGATCGGCGCCACTGAACATATCTAAACAGGCAGATAAAACATATGAGTTACCTACCTAGTTAATTGTATCTATCATCAAATAAGTTTAATATTTTATTTTACTTTTTTATTATTTATTAAAAGTGTTACTTATATGATCCCGGACCTAGTAGTTTACCTTAAAGCCACCCAGTTAACTTCAGAGGTGGGTTCCATCTCATCGACCATTTTTTGTAAGTATAAAGTCGACGAGTACCAATCTGAAGTATTGAATTCGTATGGTATATTCCAACCGACGGGTCCAAACTTTCTTCGCTCTTGGACGACCGAATGGAGGAATGAAATCACATACAATATTGGTTTGTATTGTGGTATGCTGGAGTAGATCAATGTGTCATCACCCATATTGATAAAAGTTCTCATTAACCCGGCTCTTAATCCTAAATATGCAATAAAATACTATATAGTATATTACTGAATAACCTGACGAGCAGCCGCAGTGTTTAAATCGGCTGATATAAGTACTCGAACTAAATGGTGACTTATAAATAAAATTGATTAATTCTTCTGTTTGAATAAGTTGTTACAATTTTACTTGGTTGGTTATTTAGAAAATGTATATTTAATGTTTTTACCTTCTGGGGGTTCATACGTAAAATGTATAGATATTTGTAAAAGTGATATCGAGAATTGTGGATGAACTTCTGTGGTTATCCATATTCTAAAGTTTTCTTGACTAGACTTCGCCACACTTGTGTTTATATATGTAAACGTTTCTTGCATAAAACTCAAACACAAATGACAATTTTGAAGTAATACCCATCCTCCCTAAAAAGATACATTATGGATATTCATTAAAGTTAAAAGTAATAAATATATTTTTCAGAAAAATGTTGTTTTTAACGACTGAAAATTATGTTCAAATAATATTTTCAAAAACGTTAAAGGTTTTTGAAATAATGAGTATTCTTAAGTTAAATAGATCACTCAGTATATCGTGTTATATGTATGTATACAATACTCACGTTGATTGCACATTCTTTCATTAACCTCTCGGCGTGTACTTCCTGACCTTGTCCCATCGACACAGAATTGAACGGTATTTCTAATTTTTTTGCAGTGTTCTCAATGAGATTACTTGGATCAGAACCCATGTTTAGGAAACAAATCATCGGTGTAGTACTTCTGGATTCGAGGTACATCTCTTCGATGTCAAACATTACTGTTTCTACGAACTGAGGCCCCAGTGATTCTTCGACATAGGAAAACGCTTGAACCAACGTCCTGTCTGGACACCACGCCCTTACCATCAATAACCTTTCAAACACGTCGAGCTTGTCAAATCCATCTGGCATTTTTTCTTTTTCCGGATTACTCTTCTCGTACCATTTTTTCCACGAATTTCCGTTCGTTTCAACGGCTGTCAATATTGATTGGAAAGGTGAAATGGTTTGTAGTAAGCCCAAGTTCATCCAACAAATGTCAGTCACCCAATCGAAGGGTTTAGGTTTTATAGAACTCATATCAACTGAAGCTCCACCCTTGATGAAATATTCAAACTGACTTCTAGTGATTTTCTCTCTGTCCAGATCTATTTTGAGCGTCATGAGAATCGTAAAAAGTATTTTGTGCACCTCGTACAGTCCACGGCACTTGTATTTGAATATGGCATAAGTCAAAAATTCAATAATGTTGCTTATTCTACGTTCGAGCATAACAGCCTTATCGGAGTTTGATAACGACATATCAAACTGTTCTAAGAACTGCTGTAATGAGTTCTGATACATGGGATTGACCATTCCCATTTCTACGATTAAAAAGTACAGAACTGAACCTCTAGTTGCAATCGGACGATACTGTTCACGCATCACGCTTATTGAAGCTTGTGTCACGTTCGCCACTTCTATTTTTTCACTGACATCGGTAGCCGTATCTTTGGTCTTATTCAACGTATATAAAACCGATTCATCGTCTACCAATGACCCTTTTACGGTAGTTAGTTTTATTAGAAGGTCGTATTCTAATTTTTGCATTTTTCGTTTTTGAGATGTCACTTCAGAAATTAATTCAATACGCTCTTGTTCTAATTCTTTTTTCTCGATTTCTATGACTCTACTTAACAATTGATCTTCCAATCCTTTAATAGTTACAGTAAAATCGATGACTATGCATCTGGCGTAGAGCTCTGGAGGAAACGATGGATTTCCAAGTTTTGTAGTGAGATATAGTCGAAAATCGTCACTAACGTCAATTTCTTTATCTCCTAATAATACATTAACAATTTTACCTTTTACGTAATAGTTCTTTTCCAGAACGTTATTTATTACCGGATCGACATCTTGCAGTACATCGTGGATCAGTAATGGTTTTCCCAACGATATACTATCTTCAAGATAATTTCTGAAATATTTATCATCAAAAGAAGTAACAATCATGTTATTTACGGCTTCTTTATTTTTAATCCAAGCTATTCCTTGACTCTGCGGATCAATCATAATTGGGTATTTTGAAGATTTTGTTACAATAATACCGTTTTGAATTGATAGATCATCATTTGGCAGTCCTTGAAGATTCCATTCACTAATAGTTGGAGGGTCCGCCAATTTTTCAGTCACATTTAGATTAGGGGAATTTGGAATGTTCCTCTCGTTTAATTGATCATACCACGATTGCATAATGTTTGTTCTATATTCTTGGTTGAATGGCCCAGAGTAATTTAAAAATGCCGTTAGTATTACAATATCTCCTAATGAATATTTAATTTCCAAATTAAAACCAGCCAACTGCTGTTTCCATCTCTTTCTTTCTCCTTCTAAACCCTCAATAAGTGCTGTTGCAGACATCATTTTATTTTTACATCTATTCGCTTCAGACTGAATTACTTGCTGTGAACTTAAAGCTATATTTAACTTTCGTTTTGCTTCTAACAACTCCTTGTTTTTTTCAAAAGCAATGGTCTCCGCGGCTTTTAATTGTTCTTTAGCTTGGATATGTTTACCCTCTTGCTTAGCTAAGTTAGCTATCAATGGAAGCACTTCTTTGTTTACATTATAGAAATCTGACATGGCCAATGTCCAACTCAGAAGTCCGGCTACGTTTCCACATGCCAATTTCGCTTTTTCGAATGTATAGTCTTGGTAATTGAAATATGGTTGCAATAGATCAATTGTTTCTCCATTGATTTGATTTTTGGGGAAATTTTGAAGGTTGAATAGAAATCTGGTGTCGGACATTAACTAAAATAAAATAATCATATAAACATTAATTTTACCGTTATTATGATGTTGTGGCACAAAGTTTACTTTTAAAGATTCCTTCCAATTGGGTTCTAAAAACAACTTGTTAGTATCTTTTATTACTTTCGGTAATTTTCGTTGGAAAAATATGAGTACGGAATCCATAATCAACGTAATTAAGTAAGGTGGTTTGCCCAATTTTCTTACGGTTGCTATATCAGTTGCTGTTAGTGTCTAGAAATTAAATTTGCTTTTTATTTATAAAAGAAATTAAATATTTTAATTGAGCTATTGATTTGTATATTTTAAACAAGGAAAATGAACATGTATTAAGCTTTAAAACATTTTTATGCTATTTAACTAAGTGTAATTGTTAACTGTACCAATAAAGCTGCTTCGGCAGCATCTAACGCGGGTTTAGCTTTAGCAAGTTTCACTTCGGCGATCTTTTTCTCTTTTGAAATGCTTTTTAATAACAATTCGGCTCTGTCTTTTACAATGGCGACTTCGGCTTTACTTATTTCTGCAGCTTTAACCACGACATTCACTTTAGTAGTTACCTGAGCCGATTTATAAAATATAACGAATCGAAAATATTGGTTGACGGTATTTAGAACTCTACCTCTGTACTGGCTTCCGTTGCGATAACAATTTCCTTTTCTTTCTCTATCAATTCTTCTTTTAACACTTCTACTTGTATTGAAGCGTCGGCGAGTTTCTCTAATCCTAATATTCTTTGCTTTTTCATCTGCTCAATTTCATATATATTCTTTGAGTACAAACTCTTATAGTCGTCCACAAACGAAAGGAATGATTTTGGCGTTACAAATATTTTTCGACGAAATCTTGTAAGAAATTATATTAATAAATGGGTTGATGGATATTTCTACGCAATACTGTTATCAATTGATATGTGTAATTTTTCATTTTAAAATTTTAATATATTACGATAACTGACAAAAATTAATTGTAGGCTGTCGAAATTTAATGTTATAGTTTAAAGCTTGAAGAAAAATAAATTTACAACTAGACGCTATTTTTTCACGTTACCACACGTTTAACCGTCATGTGCCCACAGGTGGCCATACGATATTATAGTATCGATTAGTGATGTAAATTTGCATGAAAATTTTCAAAAAGTTAAACATTTTGAAAATTTCATAATTTATGGCTGCCAAGTAAGTTTATAACATAAGATAGTTTTATCACAGAACAACTTTATTCTTTGGTTTTATTACTCATGTATATTATCTAGTAGTCACTGTAACCAACTGTTATACAATTATTACAAAATAAATTATTTAAAAAAATAAACATAAAAATCGAAATTTGATCAAAATAAGAAAATTTCAGTGAAAAAAGCAGTGAAAGCTTACATCCTTAGTATGGATACACTAAGCAAATTTTCCATGTCATTCCAAATTTGTAAATGCTTTTGTATTTGAAAAAAAAATAAAAACATATATATTACATAAACAAATTTGTAATGATTCTTACTACTTCACTGCGAATTTTTTAGTACATTATTATAGCATCATGGAAAAGTTTATAATATAAGACCATATTTATGTACAGGTCGGTGGTATGGCGTGGTAGGAATGATCAACTATATGAACGCCATCGGGCATAGTAGTATGGAAATTGAACATTGCAGGATGGCTGACCATCAACACATAGCGGTTAGCGTGTTAAATTATGTTTTCAGCTATTACGTACCTATACTGTATTATAAAAACAAATATCTAAAATACTTTGACATTTGACACGTACCTTTGGAAATAATTTATACAGTCTTTTGCAACGTTATCGTGTATGACACCAAGTAATTGTATCAATGATTCCTTTTCGTTTACTGTACCGACCACTGGGAAATTGTTTAGAAAATGATGAGATACTGCTAGTAGTGCATCCGAGGGCCACGCTGTATACCAATCGATAATGCACCCAGATATAATACCGGGAAACTTTAATGAACGCAAACGAAAACTGTCACCTATCTGTTAAAAAAAAAAAAAAAATGTTTACAGTTCAATTAGTTTTCTTCTCCTTAGACTATCACTTATAATAGGAGGTCACATCATAATTCATTCTAATTTTTTTTATGAACATGAACAATATATACTGTGTTCAAAATAAGAACAGTAGTCGGCGGCCGAGTTCTGCGCATGGGAGTGGATTTGTTCCGCGGCATTGCCCGACGCGTCGCTGTAGTGTGGACGGCGTCTGACCATATGTCTGACCGCCGCCCGACGAAAACTTGTTCTAAAACTACTGTTCTTTTTTTGAACAGACTATAGACATGAATAAAATCTATTTTTAAAATTAAATCCTTGAAATAGTTTTTCTTAAAACATTGGAAGTTAACGTATTCCAATATAAAATATTAGAACGAACTGTATCGTTTAGGAGGAATATTAATTAATTACCTATTTACAAATAGTAAAAAGAGTCCATGTGCAAAAACACTCCCTCATTAAGAGTATTTATTAGTTGATATAAACTTACCGGTGAAAAACATAAAACTAAATGTAAATTGTTCATAGCTTGCTTAATGAAAAATTGGTACAAGTTGTCAATAGATGGATTGCCTTTGGGTGATTTTTTTTTAAATAACGGAGTTATGCTATTCAACATTTCTTCAAGTTCATCTTTCGGGAACAAGTTAGCCACTTCTCCAGAACTTAATATATTGTTAATATACTCGAGAAAAGACTCTTCTTTAATGTCGTTATCCGTGAACACGAATGTAGTTTTCATATCTTGAATTCCGGCAAATCTATAAAGTATTCTGATGTCGTCCAAGAAATTATTGATATTATATGACCTACAAGTTTCAAAATAAAAATATTTAAAATCCATTTAAACTCAATGCTTACAGTTATCTTAATAATGATCTTAAAACATATTAAAATAATAATCATAAGTATTCAATCATAACCTTGTTAGAAATATTGAATGCTGTTTGTATTTAGCGATAAACGATGCCAAAGTGGTCACCGATCTCCGGCCGGAACCTCCAACACCCACGAGTAGACCGTTTCCACGAGGTATTCTTAGTATGCGTGCTATTATAATCAAATGGACCATACAGTCTCTAAAAAAGACTAAATCCACCACAGAACCACGAGTCGCGTCTTTCATTTGACCCATAAACATCAACATTCTATCTTTCAGGACTTCATAACTGTAAAACGCACAATAAAAGTAAAATTAAAAAGCCAAAGAATATTTTAATTTAAAATATGTATATATATATATATATGTATGAGAATATTATGTACTTACTCTTCGATGTTCTCGTAAATGTTCGGGGTCTCAGGTTCGAAGTCATCGGGCTCGTCGCCTGTAGGATCGACCATGTCCCGCATAAAGTCGACAAAAACTATCGTTTTCATGTCAGCCGGCATCATTTTGTAGTTCTCGGAGCCAAGGAACTTCTCAGCCGAGGACAAAACTGTTTCCAAGAACCAGTCCTTATCCTGAATGCTGGTCAGCTTATCATAGATGACGCGCTGCAGCTCGTGACACCACAGTCGCAATAGCATCCGTACATCCTGACATTCAGCAGAGCACACCTGCAGCATACCTTCCCAGATGCGGGATAAGTCGCGCAGGTTGAACACATAATGGAAGTTGGCTGGGGTGGGTAGCAGCTTTTGTTTGGTCTTCTGCCACAAGATCCGGGTGAGCACCACCAGGCCAGGCAAGAACTGTACGACCTGCTCGTTGAACCGTTCCACGCAGAAGTACCCGCAGCCCAGTGCCCCGAATATTTTGTCCATGGAAGTGTCCGATGGTAGCGTGCAGTTGAATATACAGAACTGCCGCTTAAGTCGGGGTGGCACATCATTTCGGCCGCCTCCTGGATGGATCATGGCGGCCAACATGTTCACACCCACGACGTTGATATAATCACCGGGCTTGGTCAGCGAATAGAACCCTTTATTCTCCAGCAGCTGGCGAGTGATCTCGTTTGTCACCTGGCCGGATACAAGCAAAAAAAAAAATAATACATAGAACATACTCGGTTCAATATCTACATTTCAATATTTATTTTACGAATTTTAGTTCAATGTGAATAAAATATGTTTTTGTTAAATTTTGTAATGAACGAAATAAACTAACGCATAATGATGGATTAGGGCTGGAACGGTGGGTTATTTTGTTAGCAAAGCGTTTATAATGGAGCTTTGCTGTGGGTATTTGAAATTTGAGTGAAGAGTATTATTGGAAACATAGAATTTAAATTAAAGTCGGATTTGAATCATTGAACATAATTATTAATTGGTATTGAAATTTTAGGCTGAGCTCTATAGTTAGATGCCATAAGAATAAATGGGTCTTATCAGTAGTTTATACAGAAATAGCTTTATATAGGTAGTCTTTATTTGTTGAGGTTAAAATCGGATGAAGAAAGTGGAGATAGTAATTTTATTTTTTATGTGAGGTAGCAGTAAGACTTAAAAATATTATCAATAAATATAATAAAGGTTTTCATAGAAATATTGTCGCAATACAAGATCATAATCACAACCTACCATCAAACATAAATCAATTAATATTTTATAATTACTTGATCTCCCCAGTCGTTAATGATCGGCATGTTTATATCATCAATAAATATTGTCATTTTTCGATTACCCGGAGGACCGTAAGTGGTGCCAAATCTTTTCTCCATATATCCTTCGATGGTACTCTGATTTAAGGGATTAACGATGGTTTTTTTAATAGCTAAGGACTACTTTCGTGTATGATTCGAGTATTTCTTACTTGAAACATGTTTGGAGTGGTAGCCGAGGAAAAGTTGAGCATTTTGCTCGTTCTCACCTCGGGATCAAATTCTTGCATGTAACACTTGATCATTACCGTCTTAGCAGTACCTTGTTCACCGATTAACAAAACGTTTTTCTCTTGATTGGCTATTAAAGTTATCAGGAACATGGTACGCACGTTGTCTAAATTCGGCACCAGTATATCACCGTACACTGGTATATAATCACTTGGGTAAGTGTACGACTCTATCAACGTTTCCCAGTGTTTCCATTCGCCGTCTTTTGAAATGGTGTAGTCGTAAATCGATTCTCCTTCCTATGAAAAACATGATATTCATTGTTTTTAATGATTTATATCCACAAAAAAAGTCTCTTTTCTAGAAATGAACTTACTTTAAGTTTTGGTATTATAATTTTTCCTGCCAGGTCCTGTAAAATGAACTCTTCTAATAATCGTCTGTTATCTGACTCTAACACGGCAGCAATACTCCACATGATTGCAAATGTGTATAAACGTGATAATATTTTTACATCTATTACAATTTATTACAGAATATTCATTATTATTATTATTATTATTATTTATTTAATATTATAATTTGTATTATTGTATCCAGAGATGTTTACCTGGCTCTTCAGGGAACATGCTTAAGAGTCCGTCGAGTATATCACATGTTTGATGAATGTAATGAGGTTCCGTTAAAGTCATCTTGGGTGAAAGCCTAGATTGAAGAATTTTTAATAATTCGTTGTAAGAATTATCAAATATTTCTTGAAAACAATTGGATATATGTGCAGATTTAGTTTTTCCCCATCCCTGAAATAGAAAGATTTACATACCATTATAACGTACTATGTATAATAAAAAATGTATTAAGACTGTTCGTAGAACAATTTAGTTTATTGAAAAAGTTTCAGACACCTTATACCTGAATATGATGCAATAAAACTCATTCATTTAGTTTAGACATGAATAGTAAAAATAATCTCACATGAAAATATATATATATATATATATATATATTAGTCTTATATATATATATAAGAAGTGATAACAGTTATAATACATTTTTATTTAAAAAACCAAAACTTTATAGTGGTTTGATCAACGAACATAAATGTAAAAAACACAAGATCATATAATGTGTCTTTCAATAGCTATTTCTTATACTTTTTAAAAAACATCATCCTTTCATGATAGAGTGATATTATACGACAATTTAATTATCGAGCTATTTGAGGTGGTTAGCAGTTTTTTAGTTATAAGTATTATGTCATTAGATTTAAAATAAAAACAGCAACGTTATATTATATAGGTACTTACTCCAAATATCACTCTCCATGATAACACTGTGGACGAGAAAAAAGTCATTCCCATCCTAGAAATGGTTGCTGGGGAAGCATTGTCCACGTTGTCTGGTTCAAAACAAAGTTTGGCGTTGGCGGCCATGACAATTCGATCACCGTTTGCCAAGGTAAGCGTTTTGTTGTCGTCTAAGACGGAGTTTAAATTCTCTATCCAAACTGCATCCACGGGACCATCCAATACTATCCAACAGTATTCGTCTGGACTCAGCTGGGATTTAATTATTGTACGTGTATAATATATTATAGTACGGTAACCATTAAGATAAAAATAAACCGAAACAATTTATCGTCTCGAAAAAAAAACATAGGTACCTTTAACGTTCTCCTCCAGAGTGTAGAAAATATACCATCAGTCCAATCGTTCGTGGCCACGTCCAATCTCCCAAACATCTGAGATGCCGTAATGGCTTTGGGATTCATTCGATACTCGAAGTGCGTCAATCCAGTTTTGGTTAAGGCCGATAGAAGACAGTGAATGGCAGTAGTTTTACCAGACCCAGTAGGTCCCAGTATCATCAGCCCGTGACGCACCAAAGACGTTTCGTATACCTTAGAAAAAAATATATACAAGCTACAGTATACAGTAAATCATAACAGTAATAATATATATTAGACCATTTGGTAAGTATAGTACTTGAATGATTTTTAAATTCCACAAAGGATGGTTGACCAACTGTTTCTCTTCACACGAGCTTAGTATGGCTGATTGTAAATCTTTGTATGTAGACGAAGTAGATTTCATGCCGACAAAAAGATCTTCGATCAGAGACAAAAAAATAGTTTCGTCCTGATCGACTAACTTTGAAACGTTCATTCCCTTCAACACTCTCATGAGTATCGTTTCTTCAGCTTCAGTCGCGTTGCTTCTCCTCTGAGTGCCAAGCGTACGCAAAACTGCCAATATATTACGCAGACCAAAATCGTAATGCACTTGTTTACTCAACTGTTCTTCACATAGCTGGTATAGTATGAAGAATTTTTTTGATAGGGGTAGGTTGTTTTTAAAACCACAAGCTGCTAATTTCACGCGTATTATTATCTAAAAACAAACACACAATAATCCGTCATTAAATTATGTATGGTTAAATATCCATACATATTTAAAAAATAATGACAAAAGAAGCTGCACACTTAAAAAAAAAAACTTTCATACCTGTCTCCAAACACACCAAAATCCACTAATTAAAAACCTGTCCATTCAAACCTTACCTGGCAATCCTAAGGCAATCCCCTAAATGCAGGTAATTGCATACCAAAAAAAAATCTCTTAGCTGGGTCTCCCCGAAGTGCATGCCACGTTTTTGAGGGGTATGTCTGCATTGTATGCAATGTACCCACAAGTATTTATCATGCAATTATGTGTACAACAACTTAAACATTTTTTTTTGGATTTTCCTAATTTAAAAAAAAAACGATTGTATAGAAACGCTCTATATATAGTTGTTCCAACTGATTAGTTTCTAGATAGAAATATTTTAATATCTGAGTAAACATTTTACCAAACTGTACCTATTGTAGGGTTTTACAGACATACGTCTCCGTCGACGAACACTTAAGTGTTTGTAGCTCAAATTTATAATCATTATTATTAGTCGATTCCTCAAAACAAGTACAATGTGATATATATGTAAAAATGCGTAGTTCAAATGTAAATAATAGACGTCGGGAAATATTAGAAAAAGAAAAATGTATAAGTTTAGTGATTTCAAAATAATAAAACTAATAGAATCATGTACGTAGAAAAGTTGGCAACAAAATATATAAAGCAATACTTTTCAAATTTCCAATATTATATTATGACGTTAAATATGGCAATATAGACAATATTATACTTATTTTGTTATTATTTTTATTATTATATTGTAATGTTATTTTTAATTGTAATTGAGGCAACTAAATAATTTTAATCTATTAACTCTTTAATATTAACCATTTTACAAAATGCTATTACTATTTTATTCTTCGAAAAAAGATTATGTGCCCGGTTAACATATATTTGACATATTGACATATTTGATTATTGTGAGTTATCAATTTGATTATTTTATTATCATATACAATATATTGTACATTGAAATTTTGATATTCCATGCCCAAAATGTCAAATAAAAATCAACCAAATTGTATATAATTATTAATATGTAAAAATGTAAAATGCATTCACTTGATTATCCTGAACTACAATTGTTTTATTTAATATTTAATATTTACAGCGTCGCCTTCTCCAATATTTATATATTTTATTGGAATGTAACAAGCCTCTTCCTTCAGTGGAAAAGTAAGTTAAATTATTTTATTTAGAAAAATATTATACATGGAATGAAATCGAAGATATGCCTCTAAGAGGTCGCATGTAATTTAGGTATTCCAATGTACCTATGTTTATTTTTTTGGTATGCGATTTGGATGCACCCCTAAAAAAGCACTGGTGCCGGGACTTGTTAGGAGACTAAGGGGAAAATAAATATATATATATTACAAAGGTACTATATAAATATATATAAATAATCAAACAACTCCCAGTCAATTGTCACTAATGGGTGGTACTTATTCCAATTTGCAATAAATTTGTATTCTGTCATCACGTCATACATTTATTGTGCAAAATAGTACAGATTGTGCAAAGCTTTATAAAAATTCAAAATAAAAAAAAGAATTTGGTATATAATTAATATAAAATACGTATGTAATGTGAATTTTTTACTTAAGTTTCCCTATAAGTTGTTCATAATTAATTATTGGTTATTACATTTAAATTAATATAATAAATAATAATAATATGGAGGTATTAAATTAATTTAGTTGATAAAAAAATTACCAATCGGTCGGGAACCATCATGGCTACACTCCGAAAAAGAACTTTTAAGTTTTCAGGTAGTTCTTGACGTCCAGCATATCCAGGATTCATGGTCAGGAATATGGCAAATTCTTGGTTCATAGGAACCGTATCGCCATCGCTAGAAAAAGAAAAAAATTGTTAAAAGTAATAATGACGGATATCAACACTCCGAAGGTTCAAAATTCTGTTAGTCAACGAATACCTGAAAATGAATGTTTCACAGTTGCTTTTGCGGGCCATAAACACGGTGTATACTTGCTGAGCGGCCACCGAAAGTACTGGAAGTTCGATCCTGTTGAACTCATCGAAGCAACCCCACGTACCCGAGTGCACTAAGCCTTTGAAAATTCGACCTAGTCCACGGTAGTCCATTTGATCCGAACAATTAAAAACAACTACGTATTTCCCGAGTGATTTTCCCATGTCTTTCGTTGTCTCCGTTTTCCCTGTTCCCGCTGGTCCCGCCGGTGCGCCGCCCATATTCATTCCTGTGCATTGCCGTTGGGTTTATATATCAAAAGTAATAATAGAATAATATTGAAGTAAAGCGTTTAAGTATGTTTCATGCGAATCGTGGACGCTTTGTCTTCGCCGTTTCGTCCCTTTAAAAATACGAGTTTATTGACGTTTGATCCTAATTATTAAGGTAGGATGTTTATTGTTTGGTGCCCCGGTATTTCAAATCATTAGTTAAATTAAAATCGATATATTTTTTTTTTTACATTTTTAAACCATTTTTAATAAGTAAAATATCAGTATAATTATCAAATTTAAATGTATTACAATATAATTATTGTCATCAGTCAAATTTAAATAATATAAGTGAATTATTTGAAAATACAATATATTTACAATAGATTATTTACAATAGAAATATTATAAATATTAGTTAGGCATCCATATTTTACATTATTTTGAAAAATAAGTGATTTAATGTAAAAAATCTATCTATGGTATTGACATTTTAAGTATAAAAGAAAATATATATAATTATGTAAATGTATTAGAATACATATTATTTAAAATTGAATGATGGAATATAAATTTAATAACTTTACTGATATTTTTCATTTTTTTAATAAGAATTGAAATTTTAGTTAAAAAAAAAATAGAGATTTAAATTTGACGGATATAAAATACAGCGGAACCAAACATCCCACGGCCACTAATTAAGATAATATGCAGGATACGAAACGAAAGTATGATAAATGATACCCACACCTTCTCACACTGCAACAAGACTACTAGCGCTAATCAAATGTACGTGTGTTATACAACATAAGTCCCTTATTCTTCTAGTATCACAGAATAATCCTATTTAAGCGCTAAATAGTTGTCTTTATAATATGAGAATGGAGATCACGATTAAAAATATACAGGTTACTCAAAGAAACTTATTTTTTGGTGAGCTTAAAATTAACGATCTTTTCATAGCAAGAATAACAGTTAGCGGTTTTGCATTATAGTGATTTCTCTTTTTACTACAAAATATATCAATATAGATATACAATACCATGCATTTTAGAGTTAGTAGTTATTAGCACATCGTTGATCAGCTATTAGAAATCAACATTTTTCCTTACAACTTTTGTTGTGTATGTGCATAGGGTCGTTGAGTAACCTGTATATCTTTAATCTTGACAGAGATACAAAAATATTATTGATAAGGCAAATCGTTTCTAATCCTGTATATTAATCGTGCCTATGATAATGGTTATATAACGTTCTATTACTCTCGTGGATCAAATGTCTTACCTTAATAATTGACTGGGACAAAACGTTAAAGTGCTAGTATTTTGTACGAGGACAAAACGGCGTGGACAAAACGACAGTTTGTAGTTTCATACAATTTGTGTGGGTGATTGAAAACAAAGATAGTGTGAAAAAAATATTATAATTTAATAATTATAACATTTAAAGAAAATGGATTATAAATATTTGATGAAAATGTGAATTCTCTAGGGTTATATAAATTATAACATATTATACCTAAACAAAATAGACTTTGTTAAAAACTGGTATTGCTTTAATATTTTCGTTTTCTTAGGGTTTTTTGTTAGTTATTCTCGATTATTAAGTACTGGGATTTTTCTATTTTTACACCCCAACTAACCACTACATAAAATTATGATAGATTCGTATATCGTCAGTCGTCTCCAAATTATTTTTGGATATCTTACCAACTGCTTGGGCTAAGGTAATGAAACATCGATCTGTGAGTGGCGTGATTACGAGCCTATCAGAACAGCCCAGGAACTCATTTTGGTACACAAACAACACGTCGGTTATTCGAACTTCGCATCGGTCCAATTCTTCTGTGTAATAAAACCGCTCTTGTTTTAGCCATTCAAAATCAAATAAGTTTGTGATCTTCTTTTGGTACAATGATTCGAAGATATCCCTAAAGTACACACGTAATATTTTAATTTCTGACACACAGTTAATAATAATGTTCATGTGTATTTTTGAAACCTCTGGTGGACGTGTATCGTAATCAAAGTCTCGTAGTTCAATCTTTCATTTTTGGTCAGATTCTTAGTAGTGGCGTCAATAAGTATATTGAGGAGCTTAATAAATTCTTGATTAGTGTCTTTCATAATTTTTTTCATGGTGATAGAGTTTTTAAGAGCATATTCTGTTCGAATTGTCCACAGCATTTGTATACCGATGAGACCTATCTGTTAATGTACAATCGATTAAATATACTAGATGTCTAAATCTATGGTATCTATTTAAAATAATATTCGCACTTGAGCAGGAAATAATTCAACCATCGTTATAATTGAAAATGTTGGGTCTCTCATAATGTAATTGTCCACATTAGCTATTAATTGATTCACAGAAAATTTCATTTCATCAAGCAAAACGTTTAACCAATTTTCCACTCCTCCAGTACATAATACGGGATGTTCCAATGCGATTTTTTCACCTTCTCTGGATACGATATCTCGCACTTTATCGTATTCGGATTCAAAGTATATCAGCTTTGCAGTATTATCAAAAAGACTCAGCAAATGAGGTTGAATGTTATGTGAGTTCGAAGCTTGACCCAGAATTTCCAAAAGCACTGGGTCCGATATAAAGTAAAATCTTGAAAATATGTTTCTTTTTTGGTCCAAGTACCTAATTGATCAACCATTATTATAAGTTCATAATATTTAATAGGCATTTGCCCCAAAGACAGTCTAGCCATGCAAGGATTTTGCGAATTTCTACACTGCTATGAGACAATTTAGACGAATTTTAAATAATCAAATAAGTATAAATTTGATTGTAATAGGTTGTGATACCCTGCTAATGACTTTTGACACAATTCCAACTGTTCAAGCATGTAAGGCAGTAAAATTTCCATAGACCCATCTCCGGTGCATATTTCAATGACGTTCTCGAGAAATCGTGCTTTGCTCATTAAAGTTACCCACAATTTATCTATAGCCTAAACGTAAGCTATGTAAATGACCATGAACCAATGATAAAAATATCGATAAAATAACTTACAGTGAAACGTTTTGTTTCTAGTGGTAGTTGCTTAGATATATCACCACCTATAAAAACGGCTTCTAAATACATCCAAAGATTTTGCACGAGAATCCAATTTTCCAAGACTTGACTGGTCACTGCAAATTTCTTAACCCAATCCATAATTTCTGACTTAAACGCAACATTATACCTACAAACAGTTCATAAGTATCATTGTTTTTGTATATCACTAGTCATATTGCATTATGCATTTCAATAAAACATTTTTTAAACTTTTTTCTCGTTTTACAACAACTAACCGTTTTTATTAAAACAATGGTCTTGTATATAATATATAAGAGAGTAAAAAAAGTTTGTTTGATTGGTTTGAGTCTGCTTGAGTGGTTCCCGGGATGGTTTAGATTCACAATTGGATCCGGTAGGTCCGACTCCGGGGAGGTACTCAAACAGGGATTTTGATATTTACGATGGACATTTTTGTTTATAAATGGGAGAAGCCATACTAGAAACAACTTGTAGAAGTTAGAATTTTATTTGTATATTGGTTGAAATTTGTTAATCGGGTAGATCAGGTACAAGCATCCATCAAATCTAATTTTCTCACATTGTCTACTAATATGGTCGAATTGCACTTAGTGCAGAGAGTTACACCAAAAAGTAGTTGAACAATCACAATTTATTTAATAGTTGTCATTTTGTACGGTCAACAAAGTGCGCGGGATCAGTTAGTAATGATATAATTTTTAAAAAAAGTTTAAAAAATTTACACATCTTACCTATTGGACGCTAATGAGCTCATAATCATTTGTGAATCTTCTAGTATGGCTACGACTTCCGCTATTTCTTGTCCTTTTACAAGTAATAATCCTCTGTTTTTAAAATTAGCCAATTCTATTTTTATAGTCGACCAATCGAGTATTATCTGACGCAATTTTGCTTCGATGTCGATCTCTTTGATAGCTGTCTGGCATATGTCTTCCAGCTCGTCTTTATATTTCAATAAAGGAGCAGTCATAATATCTTTGAGTGCAAAATCATGATCGTTTACGGGGAATAGTGTACCAGTCGCCTTTTCTATCATTTCCCAATGCCTTGGTTTTAGTGAATTCTTAAACATCATTTCTACTAGAATCATTTTATCCGACCATTCGTCAATGTTGTTTTTTAATTCTTCATATGTTGGCCATTCCTTTAGACCTTTAGGAAGTTTACGACACTTTTGAGTGTACTCTGCTAAACTATCGATAATATCATCTATTTTTAAACGGTTCCATAGTGTACTCGACCACGTTTGAATGGAACGATTAACTGCACTATATAGATCATAAAGTCTTTTTAGTAAGTTGAAAACTCGTCTAGTTTCATTCAGCGTAGGATATAAAGTCACTGGAGTTTTGAATAAACGCTCTCCATCCTGATAACGTTCCATCAACGAGACTAACTCGTCGAAACGATCTTGAAATAGTAAAACCCTAAGCATAGATTAAACGAAAACAAGTTTAATAACCTTAAAAATACCATAATATCATGTATGTTTATTTTTGTTTTACCTCTCAGCGGCCTCGGAAGGCATTAGACCATCGACCATAGGACCTCTTTCAATGAATTGTTTGTCAAAAACCACTATATCCGATTTAAGGTTTACTATGCCTTCTTGTAATTCTGTCCTCAAAGGGATGTATATATCCAACAGTCTTTGCGGTACGTTGCACATCTATAAAATAACACAAATATTTTAATATTATTAGTATTAAGGAGAATAGCGCTCTTTATATTCGTTTCTATATCATTATGATTTATGAATGTCACCTCCAATTTGAGTTTTTTATAAGTTTCAGTGAGTATATTCAACTGTCGCTCATCATCAGGCTTAATTGGAACTTGGTATTCACTTAACAAATCGTACACGTCAACGGTAATCTCTATGTCATTGTCTAAATCTGTCAAATTGTTTTCTAGTTCTTCTAAACATATTATCACCTTTCTGGCATCGACCAAATCGTTGATTGGTGCCGAAATTATACTATATTTCTCTGCTATGTGTTTACACAAGTATTTCAGTTTGGAAGATTCTAATACACCATTGGCGAATAATATTTGCCAATCTTTGATTTCATCGTGTAGAGACTCTTTGAATTCGTCTAACAATACAAACAGTTTTAGAGAACAATGCTGCTTAAATATTATAATATTATAATGTAAACAGAAATTAAGTGCTAATTTTAATAATCACCTAATTGGATTTCCACAGGTCCAATTTCTACACTCAGAGGTTCATCATATATCATATTGATTGTATATTTCATATGGTCAAATACATACCGAATTGAGTCCAATTCAGTTTGTTTTTCTAACAACCAATTGATTTTTTTGATTTTTTGAGGAAATTGTACCCAAATGTCTTGATATTTAATAGCGTATAGCTGAAAATAATATTTTACTTTAAAACATATGTATCTTTATAATAAGTAGACATGTCTTTACGGATACGATGTTTTCTATTTCCATTTTTAATGGTCTTGTAGCATTTCTTACTTCTTGGGCAGCAGCAAGAACGTCCTTGTTCTTAGATATAGTTTTCTTGTAGCAATAATCGTTTCTCTGCGTATCATAAATCATAATACTTTAATATAATATTTACATTAGAAGATAGAAATTAATAAAGAGCAATATGTTGGACAATAAAGTCTCAATGACTACAAGCGGGTGCAGTCAGAGAGAGAGAGAGAGAGAGAGAGAGAGAGAAATATATTAGCTAGATACACTAGATGCAATTTGATATGGATATTAATAAATGTGAGTATACATAATATTTGAAAGACTAAACACATTTCATTATGTATTTAGTCAAATTACACCTTATATAATATTTTGAAAATAAACGCCGTGGATGTAATTGATTTTTTTATAATTTTATCAAAAAGTTAACTTAATACTACAAAAGTATATAATATAATAAAATTGTATTTACCTTTAAGTGATTAAAACCCAAACGTGTTAATGTTGTCGTTGCATTCAGTGCATTTGAAGCCACATGCTTCAAAGCCGAGCTAATTAGTTTCCACGATGGTTCAACTCCAATGTTAGAATTAGACAGAGTTAATTTGATTTTCAACATCGGTGACCGATCCGAATTTAATTGACGCCTATGATAATATATTATTATTATTATTGTTGAACAATTTGCTGCCGAAAATCAATCGGATACCCACTGATAACAAGACAACCCTTCTATCATATGTTCGAACGTATTGCGCATCGTGCTTATCAGTGACTTAGTATAAAAAAAGTTATAGAACCTAAAAACACTCATACACCAGTCATCAACTTGTCTACTTGTAGGAATGGCAGCAGCAGGGAACTTTTCGTCTGTATATAATAATATTTTTCTTTACATAAAAGTTGTGTAAAAAATGTGATTACAAGCAATCATCAAAACTGCGTTTATTTTATAAGCCGATTTCGGATAAACTCGTACCGTTACGTTTAGCTTCTCCGTCCGTGTCTTTTATAACCTCTAACGCTTTATTCAAGTTGAAAAAATCATACATCATGTCTTCGTCTTTGAGGAAATATTTATCGTTCACTCTGTAAATAATCAACTTAATCAAATAACTGAACACCTCTTCTATGAAAATCGTTTTGTCTGAAATTATTTTCATTGTATCCTCCAAATGGATTCGGTTCAGTTCCTTAAATTCCTGGGGCCATACCGGCTGTGTTGGTAACTTAATTAATAAATATTGAGCTACATTTTCTATTTCATTTCGTAAAATATAATTGAAGTCGGCGAGCTAAGTCAAAAGGTATATATATTAATTACATGTTTATAAGACAAACTTTTATGAATTAAAACGTCGGCAAGTCTACGCATACCGTTTTTATAAATGCCTCGCTGTAATTGAAATTCTTCATCACGTCGTTCATTATATTTGTGGCCCCGGTTGAAGACCATTTAACAGTATTAAGTAATGGTATCAGCAGCTTATCCATTTTCATCAGTTCAAAATTAATTAAATTATAGAATACATCTGGTACCATTTGTCTGTAGACGTGAACAACTTCAATTACATTGTTTATCCTAATAATAATAATAATAAGGTTGTTTTATACCTTAAATGGTTGTATCGTTTTACGATATCTTCAGCGTATAAATATCTTTGGTACATCATGTCTTTGCGTTGTACCTTCAACTGTAATCTCCGAGGTATGGGAAGTCGTTGGTACATCATGAGCTGAGCAATGTCAACTTTTTCAGTGATGAACTTCGAAAAATTGACGCTATACTTCCTTGTTGTCTGGTCCCTGATCAATAACGGGCCAGTCCTCGAGATATTATCCTTTTTGATTTTCGATTAAAATTAAATTGTCATATTTTTAAATTATTTCATACAATAGTGGTACGTAATAAACGCAGGACTACGCTATTCAAACTGTACTTACTTTTTCGGCAATTTGCTCGCACCAATCTGAGTGCAAAGTTAGTTCGTGGTTTCTAAGCGCGGTACACAAAGCATTGTACGTATTCACATTTTCTCCCCACAAATTTTGACTCTTACTCTGTAAAATGATAATTTGTAAATGTATAAATGCACGATGTGGTTATTTAGTTTTGGAATATAATAAGTGTTAATTTTTACCAAAAAGAATTTCATCGGCGTTTCGATTTTGTCGTTTATCATCTTAATCCATATGATTTGGCTAGAAATCGTAGGTAAGTGATATGTAAATGGCACGTTATCCCTGCACGCAGAGTACAAATTTCTGTAGTCTAAAATAAATATTTTTAGATTAACAGTTAATATGTATGAATCACTCGAAAGTAATAATTATCATGCTACGTCATTTACTAATGTTTATATTTTTTAAGGTACTAATGTACACTGCTTCGAGATCCAAGTCATCCATTTTTAGGGTTTCACATTTCCTCAACAGTTCAACTTTGTTTACAAAGTCTGGTGTTTCTTCGATCACGGTTTTCAGATGTTTTTTCAGCCAAATTTTGAACTCCTCGACATCCGAATCAAATTGGTCACTGTCTGCTTTAAACTTTCGATCTTCAATTAATTTTAGCAGGTCTTCTCTTTTTTTCGTAAACGTTTTGAATTTTTCTTTTAGCTCAGAATAAAGTTTACGAACCATTGGAATTGATGATTTTTTCAAACCTTTATACGATTGATATGTTTCTATCATATTTTTCATCTGAAAAAAAAAAATAGGCAAAATAACATTGGTGCTAAATGCAAAAGTAAAAAAAAAAACACTAGGTTTTAGGTAATTTGGTCAAGAGTAATAATAATTGGATATTTTAAAACTGAAATATTTTCTGTTCCTCAACAAATTACATTTTCTTGACGAGTAACCAAATATTTATTATTATTAGTAAATTGTATAGACAAAATATGCAATCCGTAAATATATACGTAATATACCCAAAATATGTGAATGAAAAAAAACATATTTTTAGACGTCTCTATAGTAATTCTTCTGGTTAAAAAAATGGAAATATTTTCTACCTATTAAATAGGAATAGTCCTGAAATATTAATTAGAAAAAGCTATCGATTTTTGCCAGGACAAACAAACAAACCTTGTATGGAATGCTCATTTAATATATTAGCTCTTGTAATTACAGGTTGGCTATTAGCGTGCTTACTTTTTCGAGCCGGTTGACGAATTCAACAAAGTTTCCGAACGACGTGATGAATAATACCCGAAACGGCTCCCGGTCTTCGATGTTTATTTTGTTAACCGATTTGTTAAGACAATTGAACACATGTTCCTTGAGTTCTATACACCGTTCGAGTTTCTCGAGCAATAGGGTTTTGGGTTGGCTCCAAAAGACTACCGTCAAGTCGTCGGTCAGATAATTAACACTACTTATCACTGTCTGGTTCAAACACGTCAACAGCATCTTGGTCGTGAATCGTTTATCAAATGCGTATTTGGAAAATGACTGTGCAATCGGCATACCATCGAAAACGTTTTCGATCGCCGATCTTAAACGAGTGATGTCGGATTGGTACAGATCATCGAACATCCTCTCGAACGAGTTCAGATAAATCACAGTTTCCCTTATTTTTCTGTAGAAATGCATCGTTCTCTGTTTCACGATAATCCACGACTACATGATAATATATGGCCGAACGTGTTATTAAGGTCATTTCGTTTTAAATTTTGTTAAGACAAAATAAATGTTACTAAAAGTATTCTATTATTATAAAAAAAAACATTATATTTCATATTTTTAAGTTTTTAAAAAGTTGTTAAATTTATTTATTCCAACAATTCACGACCGTTGTCGGATTATAATATAGAAGGTGCTCCAAGTAAAGTGAAAATAGCAATTAAATTATAAGCCACTTCTTCTGCAGTTTTTGTCTTTAATGGTTTTATGACGACAAATTTAGTTAAATGGTCCTGATATACCATTATAAATTTAAAAAGTTTATCAGCATTTGATTGAAAATCAATCAAATCAACTTGACAGCGACTATTAAATTCACTAGAAATATGACTTAGGTGACAAAATTATCGCGTTATCTGTCGGCAGTCGGAATTCTACTTTATAGATTACAGATTACAGATTACTAATGGATTTATATATTGTCAAATATCAATAGGTACTGATTATATGGATTTAATATATTACCTATACATTGTTTGGCATTTCATATAATGCTTAGGTAATTTAAACAATTTTATAGATTGCCGGCTGTATTTGGTGTTATATAGAATTCCTAGACATTATATAAAATACCAATATTATACACATTGCCGCTAACACATACATTATATTAGTAATCTGATATAAAATATTTCCTATTGTAAAAATAATGTATATAATAATAATTTTTGGAGATTCTCGGCCTAAACATATTTATCAATGGTAAACTTAGGTACTTCGATGTAAACATCTGCCTATTGGATTCATGAATAAAATTATAAAACATGTTATAATGAATATAATACAATCATATTCGCCGTTAGACCATACCATAAAGAATACTTAAATATAAACACAAATTAGATTAATTATAACTAATAATAGAATGGAGAAAATGATACATTCGTCTACTCAAACAGTTATCTGAGAAAAACATTGGCATAGGCGTATTCAAGGGAGCACCTGCTCTCCATTAGTTCAATCATATGTAATAATAATATTATACAATATTATCTGAATAACCCGCCTTCATTCTTGTGAATCTAAATCAATCTATTGACGACAATTTTATGAAAATATTTCAACAACTGTGGATTTGCACAGATTTGCATATGTTAGGTTTATTTATAGAAGATAGCTGTAAAACCCGACTTTGTCACGGAAAAAAATGAAAAAATATAACGCTATAGGTAGCATAGGAGTATCTCAATGAGTGTATCTCAGTTTTGCTGTTCACGGGAAAATCATCGTCATGGAACCTAGCTTTGAGAAATAATTCGAACTAGATGGGCAACCACAAGTGGCGTATTCGATTTATCACTTGGTATATTTTTGAAACTACTTTATAAACTTTTCTGATATCTCTTCTAATAACGATATCTGAGATTTTGGTTAAAATAAATTCAGTCGTTTTTTAGAATGTAAGTTACAAACATACATATTTTGGTTTTAAGATATAGTTTCTTTAATTGAGGCCTTAGTATTAACTTTTAATTGTATGCATGCTTTTACCTCTATTGCCCAAATAACCAATGGCAACGATTAGAAACAAAAAAAAAATGTAATTAACACAGTGAGTCTTAAAATTCTTGTTTGAGGACCTATTTAAAATAGGAATTTCGTTCTAATTGGGTCTTTACAACGAAACTACTGACCAAATATCATACTGATAGCTTCAGTGGTCTTGATGAATCAGTCAGTTAGTCAGTCATTCAGTCAGTCAGGACAAGTTATTTTATAAACTTAGATATAATATATGTTGTTTAGGTATTCACTTTTAGTAAGCTAGAATTAGTTCGCTCCATGGCTGTTTCGGCGAACTTCACAAAATTGCTCTTGAACAGAAAACACACCCGATTAAACTTAATGCACATTTTTCTACAAAACTCAATTTCTTTGTGAGGCCCGAACAACGTTGGTTGTTTTTTTTCCAGTTTATACTGCTGAAGCATCTGTACACAATACATTTCATTATATATTATACTTATTAAATACCATGACATTAGTATAATCATATGTTATGCATATATATTATAGTGACCATTGTGAGAGGCAGACTGGGGATAAAAATTGGCCATGGAGAAACAGAAAATTCAGCCCAATTTTTGGCTAATAATAAAATATTTATAAGTTATTAGCCCAAATATATTCAGACATCCCTAACTGTCGACAGGCTCAGACAGGGATCGCTCCCCCTCCATCCTAGCTAGTCCACCCCTGACTATTGTACACATCACTATTAAACCAAATCTAATAGTCAATGGTAGATTTAAAGGTGAAAATATCGATATTCACGAACTGGGTCGTTGCCCCAGGACTCATCCCTCACAATTTTTTTTTTAATTATATCAAAAGCAAAATGAAAAATTGGGATAGTGGGTGACACTCTGCTGTACAGTAGGTTACAAGTGGGTCACTGTAATGGATTGTATTAATTTTTAATTCAATGATAATATAATATCATTGTATAAGAAAAACGATTCTGAGAGAAGACAATGAGTCAGCCTATGATATTACTAAGTATACTTGATATTATTGTAAATAAAGTAATTTATATATTATTACCTATTGACGTGGCCCCCTGTTTTAGCTATATAAGATGAACATTTTATAAATTTTTAACTACTGAATAATTTGTAAACTTTCAATTTAATCAATTTCGTTCAAATTCAAACATTAAATGCTTATAAAAAAAAATGTGCTTATGTATTTTTTAATATTTTTCAACTGCTATTTTAACAATGTATCAGAGCCTCGTATTAAATTTTCATGCCTTTTGGCCTACCAAATAAAATTTTATTGATATTTTTAGAAAAAAAAACAAAAAAATTTAAATTTTAAATTGCCCGTTAATAGCTCAAAAAGAGTTTAAATATTTTCAAAATTGTTTAGTGTATAGAAAATGAAAATTTAAACATTCAATGAAATTTTCATGTACCTTTTTACAGTTATTAAAAAAACAAATAATAAAATACAATAAAATATGACAATTGCTACATGAGAAATCGATTGAATATCCAATTTTGTAAAAATATGAACTTCAAACACCCATAAAAATGTAATTTGACTATCTTGTAGACATTTTTTTTTTTGATAAAGGTAGACAAAATTATTAGGTATCTTGTATTATATTTTAAAAATATAAACTATAGTATGTCGTCAACGATCGTTAAGATATTACAAAGTAATAACTAATGACTAATGAGTAATAGCAAATAATTAAAAATAAGGTTAATAAACAGGTTAATGTAGACTTCTGAAAACTTGTATTCACGAATTTTAAATTATTAACCATGCAGTGATAACGTGTGTAATATTTTAATATTAATTTATTTGTATGATGATAATTGTATTATTCTGCATCTTTCATAAATCATATATTCGGCTCACCTTCTGGAAACTAAACATCCAGCTTCGGATCATATCCTCAGATTTCAAAACCAAATCTTTAGTTTTCGTTAATACATTATAATCGTCAGAGTCGATTATCACGTCATCGTAAAAATTCAGGGGCGATTCGAATTCGATATCCTTGACGATATTCTCGGTTGTTTCTGTGAGTACGAAAAATAGTATAATATATAATAGGTATTAATCAGTTTATAAAATATTGTATTAAAGACGATAGTATATGACACTTAATCAGAGGCGGATCTAAGAATTTTTACGCCCGGGGAAAATATTAAAATTAAGCCCAATCATAGACCAAGATTGAAAATACAATATCATTCCCTACAATTGTTTTATCATAACTGGAACTAAAATTACAAACATACTTATTAACTTTTAAACACATAATAATAATATATAGTAATTAATATATTCTGGGACTGTGGTGTAACCAAGTTTATACTAATAAACTATCACACCAAAAAAACTTTAAATTTAAAAACTTAGTTAACATATTGTTGATACATTTTTAATTACTGGAAATACTGTAGTGGTTACTTAATTGTATTTATTATTAGAAATAATAATAATATTAGTTATATATAAATGTTGAAAAATAATCAAAACTTTAATTACCTACCTATCCTGTATAAAACAGGCCCGTGCGCAGGATTTTAGAATGGGGGGTGTTTTGAAAAAAAAAATGTATAACATAGATACATCAATAATCAGCAAATAGTATTATAACATATTTATATTTATTATTAATTTTGTAAGTACCTATGTTAAATGTGTTTTTTTAACAATACCTACTATAAAATACAAATCATTTTTTTAATAAATTAACTCGACGAGGGACTGAAAAGAATTGATTCAGTGCTTGATTTATGTCCACGTTTATATCACGATGTATATTCAATGATGCCAGTCCATTTAAGCGATCTTCGCCCATTGTTGATCGTAGGTAAGTTTTCAGCCGACGTAATGTAGAAAACGACCTTTCATTAGTCGTTGTAGTCACAGGCAAAACTGACATAACACGTAACATTTTATGGACATTTGGAAATGCATCTGCATTACAAATATCAAGGGCATCAAGGGCGTTTCGAATATTTTTACCAACTAGTCGTCGTCGCCAAATTTCTACCTCACTTATCCAAATTTCTGGGGAATCGTCGTGTAAAATTGAACTGTAGATTTCAAACAACGTTTTACAAGCAACTTTGTCTAAAGATTTAGTTTCAATAGGAAAAAGACATGAGAAGTTGGACAAAATATTTCGATGTTTGAGGAAGCGATCTTGAAGATGAGTGATAAATAAATCATGATATGGTATGTAAATAATAATTTTATAATAATCTGCTACGGAGTCTGTTATAATGTTAGAACGGTTAGTTTGGCGTGATACGAGTCTTGGTTTAGTCACAGGTATATTGTACTTCTTACAAATATCTTCTACAGTCACAAAAATTTTGTTGAAGTTTTCTGTAGAATATTGTCTTCTTTCTTCAAGTTCGTGTTTTGCTGCGTCTGCTAACTTAACAGCCTCAACCAAATCTTGATTTTCTGTTTGTAAAACTCTACTCAATGATAAAGCCAATGCATGTACTGAATGCAAAACGTGAATTGATACTTGAAACTCTAAGGTTTTTATTGCTGAAAGGAGTTGAAAAGATCCGGATGTTGTTTTTGAATCTGTCCAAGTACTTGAAATGTTTTCTAAGGCGTCAATAACAGCTGGTTGTAAATCTATATAGGTTCCAATTGATTCATGCTGCTGTACCCACCTTGTTGCGCAGTATTTTTTAAGTTTTTTTTTCTTTTCTTGTAACAAAAATTCATTATTTTGTATTGCATCATGAAGTGCAATTTGTCGTTTTGGTGTATTAAAGAAGTTGTAAATAGATTGGACTGTACCAAGACAGTTTCTAATTTGGGGGATACTACATGCGGCACTAACTGCCAAATTGAAACTATGGGCAGCACAGTGTGAGTAGAGAGCTAAATGATACTTTTCTCTGATATACGCTTGAACTCCGTGAAATTCACCACTCATAGTACTAGCCCCGTCATACCCTTGTCCAAATAAATACGCACAGTCAATTCCAGAATATTCAAGGAAATCCAAAATAACATTTGATAAACCTTTCCCAGTTACATCTGCTACAGGTACAAAGCTTAAAAAATCTTCACGTATTTTTAATTTAGCGTCATCATTATTTAAATACCTTACACATATTGAGACTTGTTCTATGCCAGCAATATCGGCAGTTTCATCTGCTGTTACTGAAAAAGCTTGAGATTTATTGACTCGTTCAATAATCTGTTTTTGAATTAAATTATTAAATATGACAATAAATTCGTTTTGTATACGGTTACTGATATACATGGCATTTTTTGAGGAATTTTGCAAAAAAGTACTAAGCTGATCGTCAGTTTTTGCTCGATATCTTAAAAGAGCCCGAAAATTACCATCGTTAGTTAAAGGTTCTTCGGAGGTTATTCTCCCTGAATCATTTGAACCACGAAGGGCCAAACCCTGCCGGCCACATAATATTAAAGTTTCGATTATAGGTATCAAACATTTTTTACTTTCATTAATGAAATTTAATTGTTGTTCCGAAATTTGTAAATCAACTGGTAAAATGTTTTGGTTATCAATTTCTGCTCTCATGTTTGATTTTAATAATGAAGTTTTATGATACTCTAGTGAGTTATGGTAACTAAATGATTCTAAAGCTTTTTTCCAGTTTGTAAACGGTTTTTTAACTAACAGTCCCAACTTTTGATGTCCAATTCCTCCACCTCCGACAGAAAACAACACACAATACTTACAAAATACGCCATTCATAATTGCTGAATAAGCCAACCATTTATATTTAAGCAACCAACTTCTTTGAAATTTGAAATTTCTTTTTTCGGAAACAGGAAATTTATAGTCTTCTGGAGGAGTCCAAATCAAATTTTGAAGTCCCGGAAACAAGTCAATAGTTTCAGTTGCAGGTTTATTCACATATAATCCTATGTCATGTTGGTGCACAATCTCTGGAAGTGACACTGATACATTTCTTTCTGGAGATGCATTTCTCGCTGGTTCAATTGGTTGTGACTGGTTATTAAAACTATTTTCCTGTAAATAAAATGTAAAAATTAATCAGATTAATTGAATAATTGTGTATATAGATTTAAATATTGCATTTAATAAAATAAAATGTATTATATAAAATATTTCGACAACAATTAACAATAGATTTCAAATCACGAACGGGATGACTATATTATGTTCTATAGCACACGCGAAAAATAAACATACCTCTATACTATAATAGTAGTCCAATTTAATTTTTAAAAATGATTTGAATTATTAGTAATTATAATTAATTTTAATGTACTTACTATCTCATCATTTTCTAGCCGTGGTTTTTTGAAAAACGTTCGAATGTCCATTTTGATGTTATTTCTAACGGCGTGTTTGTATAACACTATAACTAACGTCTCACTGTGAGCTTACAATCGTTGTGTATGAACTATGATTATAAACAACTTTTAAAATACCCGAAATCCGTTATCGTGTAATCTCGTGTTCTACTAATTGCGGTCGAATAAAATATTGTTGTGTGGCATGTATGCTCTATACTTATATTCATACATTTATTGACTTATTGTCATTATATTTTATCGATAACGGCAACGATTACGAAAGTCGATAAACAGCAAACATGAAGACAACACTATATTATATTATTATAGTATTGTACTATTATGTTATGCATTATTATTTATTACAAATAAGATTGGAAAATATGATATATAGGTAATAGATCAAAAATGAAAAACACGATTTTTTCGGCCATGGGGGGGGGGGTTTGAACCCCCAAAACCCCCCCCTTGCGCACGGGCCTGGTATAAAAACCCTTTTGCTGTTTTGGTTCTATGCGCCTCAGCCTTCAATTATAATAGATTTTTATGGTAAAATATAAAATCTTTTATTCTGATTAGGGTACACAATTTAGGCCAGTAAAAAATTGTATTTAATTAAACAATTTATAATAGAAAAAATGAAAAAGTAAATATTTAAAATCAAATCTTTTTTTTTAAACATAAACAAATGTATCTTGGTAAATATTATAATATATAATATTATAAACTATATATTAACATCATTTTTAATATACAGATATAATATACGTATCGTACGTTGATTGATAATCTTATAACAGTTATTGTGTAGGTATCAGAAATTTTAACGAAAACACAGCATCAATAAATGCCTATGTATAGTTACTAGTTACATTTTCACTCAGAATCTTAATAATTATAGTATATTAGTTGTATATGCTTGCAGTAGGTATGCTAATGCCAGTATACCAGTATATACTTAGTATACTAATACGAATCTATTCATAATACCATTAACTTTATTTTTTTTTTCATTAATTCCAACGGCATCACTACAACATCATAAACAAATAATGTGAAATAAAAATGTTTTCTTAACTTCTATCACCAAGCATTAAATAAAGAACTAAAGAAAAATTACGCCCACTAAAATTTTACGCCCGGGGATCAATCCCCGGCTTCACCCCCCTAGTTCCGCTACTGCACTTAATTCACAAAATAGACTCAAATAATATAGGTCTTTAGTTTTTCGATAGCATTGACAGTTCAAATTATTCCAACGGAACAATTCATAATAATATTATTATAGAGATAGTTGTACTACCTATGACAGGGTGACCATATTTAAAAAAAAAGTAAAAATAGGACAAAAGTAAGAGCTATAATATTTTTAAATTAAGCTGTTTACAGACATTTTCAGTTTCCAATTGTTTTAGTTATTTTTTCTATAGATGTCAAATGTCAATAGATACAATTTTATTCGTTGGGTCAAAAAGTTCAAAAATTTAATACAAGACTTCTAATATATTGTTACAATGGCAGTTGAAAAATATTAAAAATACAGTAACATTTTTTTTTTATATAATCATTTAAAATATGGATTTTGACAAAATACATAAAAATCACGAAAATGTGCAAATTATTTTGAGTTAGAAATTCACAAAAATTTTTCTTTTTAAATCTATGATTTTAAAATGTAATACAAGATTCCTTATAAGTTTATCTACCTTTATCAAAAAATAAAAATGTCTATAAGAAAGTCAAATTAAATTTTTATGAGCTTTTGAAGTTTTGAATTTTTACAACATTGGATATTCACTCGATTTCGCAAGTAACGATTTTCTTATTTTCTTGTAATTCAAAAATGAACAACCATTGACATTGACACTTGAAATTTATATTGTATGTTTATTTTATCAATTAGTATACTTGATAAAATGTTCAACATATTTTGACCAAATATTCAACTGAAAAGTATAGATTCAAATAGTCTAATTCAATAATGCCGTACAAAAATATCGTAAAAAAACGATTTTTCATAAAATACCTAAATATCAAGTTATAAATTAACAGAATTTAAGGAAAAACACGGGATTAATACGGGACAAATAACGTCCTGAAAGAAAAGTTTGTCAGAACAACAGGAAACAAAGCTGAAATAAAGGACAATGATTGTATAAAACAGGACGTATGGTCACCCTAACCTATACCTAATTTATTTTAACTGACCATAAGATACACTAATAATAGATTTATTCGGTGGATATAAATTGCGATTTAAATGTTTTAAATGTTTTTTCTCTCACTGAGAGTACCTAATAATTTAATATGTTTATTATGTTATAAATGTTATGTCTGTTTTATACGATAATTTGTAATTCAATTTTTCATTTTGTAACTCTCTATCTCCAACACAAGCATATGCTTACAGGAGATAAATAAACCAATTTAATGTTTAGTATGTATTATTTATGTATAATATATAATGTGGTGTATTTTTTATACTATATAAGTACCTAGGCAGTAATTGTATGCCTTACTGTCTGCATTTCACCCAGCTCGTTTAATCACATCTAATATAAACATTAAACATCATGAATTATACGGTTCGGAGAAAAAAAATTCACTCCGCTAATAAAACAAAATTATTATATATTATGTAACCGTAAACGATAAACACGCTGTATAGTGCAAGTGTGCAGCAACTTACCGTCCATGAACGTTGCTATATCTTGTACGTGTTTTACACGATACCGACGTTCCGTGTTTGGTAGTTGCATCGTGACGTTCGATTTTTTCACCGCCAACGTATACACGTCAAGTAATTTACTAAGTTGGACGAAGTCCGACATGATGGTGATTGGTTCGGGTCCTGAGTACACGTTACAATATTCTCAAATCAAAACAATGACCGGCAAAAGTGGTGCAGTTATTATTATATTATTTATTATTATTATTTCGTTAACTTCATTATTTACATGAATAAAATTAATATAACTTGTAAAATATTTCTACTCATATAGGTATTATATAGGTTAGATTTGATTATTAATTAATAAAAATATATTTTATGGACCATATTATAAGTACGTATGCGACATGCATATATTTCAATTTCATAAAAAAATACACTGTGATTAAGCACCCTCTAGTAACGCTGAACCAGTAAGGCTAGGTGGCAAAATGATAATTATATGGGTATTCTCTGAATTTTCCAAGAATATTATTATTTCCAAAATGCAGTCTTCCCTCCCATCTGGTAATTACTTAGTGCGATGAAAATATGGTCGTGATCACAAAACTACCCTTGAGTGATGAAATACCTACATAAAAATTTCACATAACAATACTGTTATTCATTTTCTCCCAGTGGTGGTCAAATTGTTTTTCATGAGGGAGGGAAGTGGCAAATTTTTCAACATGCACTATTTGATACTTTGATCATTAAAAATATAATTTATAAATTTATAAGATCATAAATATTGAAAAAAGAGGTAATGGGTAATCTGTCAGTCTCGTCCAGAGGGTGGCAAAAATGCTCCCTTTGACAGCCACAATTTACACCATTGGTAATAAATATATGATAGGTTATTACAATTTATAGGAAATAATTACTATTTCATACCTGATTTACGAATCCGGTAAGTTGCTTTGAAGTTTGATTACTAAGGCTTACACAGGCTTACGAAAAACGAATCATGTAGTATATCTATGTGATTGTGATTGTGGAGGTTGTCTTATACAACAGACAACAATAATCACTAACTATAATGGCGTATTAAAAATGTACCTTTATATTAATATCAATAAAATAAACACACATACACACATGAAATAATGATTTCATAATGTAAATATTATATACAATATGTATACAATTTACGGTCTCTAAGCAATAACCTATTTTTAAACTCAATTCGTTTTTGTTTTTCGTTGTTATACAAACATTTGGAGCATTTATTAATTAACACGCTTTCTAAGCCAATAATATTTTAGATTTCAGTACATAATATACCTAATATTGTTTTAGCTTACGATTATGGTTGGTTATCAGTTACCACCTATTATGACATAGGTATTAGATTAAGGAAAATGCACATTCTTTTATTAAACATACAAAATGCATAATATTGAAAACGAAGACAGTCAGGTATTTGTATGTACCTACCTATCTAGTATAAACTAAAATAGAAGAATGCTTTTTCTCGATTATTAGATGAAATAAAATAAATCTTCATTGCATTTTCTTTATATTATGTAAAATTCAAATGTATTATGATTGTTTATTTTATTTTCTTAGGTACCTATAGAATTTTGATAGTGGATATTCCCTAGGTCGCACGTATCTATGCGTTATAAAAAATAACATATTAATTATTATTTTTCGGGACAGTTACCATGTTTCTTAATTTTTAGAACACGTCATCTTATTTCAATTATTAAACATGTATTTTTTTACTGTTTATTTCATTTTTTAATTAGCTGCAATAGTTGTAATTACATAATATATAATATCTGCTTGGGATAATACTACATACATTTATTAATTATGGTTAAAGAAGGTTTTGTCGCTTCAAATAAATAAGTAAAATCGAATGTAACTGCATCTTCATTTACTATCGAGGATAATAATTTACCTAATTTTATTTGATGCTGGATATTGTTTAGAACCACTATAGGTATACGATTACCATCACTATAATTTGGAAAAACCTACGATATTCGATCTCAAAATGACCACAGAAGAATAGTAAAAACTTAAAAAAAAAAGTGGGGCAGTAGGTAACCGCTGTCTTATTTAGGAAGTGTCGACTGTCGAGTAGGTACCTATCGTTTTTTAATAAGTCACTGTTGGCGGATGTGCTTAGTTTTAATGTAACAATAAATCATTGCAAACGAAAAAAAAATCTGAGAGGAAATAGTATGTCAGCCTAAATTAATAAATACATTTTATTATGTATTCATAAATAGCGCTATTATAGAAATTTTTTTTCTTATTAAACCCGTGTGGGTTGTACTAATTTTTGCCAAAAATACAGGATTATATT